TGGTTACTTATGGTTAAGGTTAGGGATGGGTAGGGGTTAAGGGTGTCGTGATTGGGATTAGGGTTTTTCCCATAGAAATGAATGGACGGTCCCCATTTAGATAGGAAGACCAACTTGTTATATATATATATATATATATATATATATATGCAATGAAAATGGGTGCATTATATTTTGCTGTACATTCAACTTATCCACAGACTCTGCAAATGACCTGTGAATAGTCTTGACTACCAAATCATGTCTGACAGCTGTAACATCTGTCAGACATTAAAACACACAATCAGTCTCTTTCCATTTGTGCACTTAAACAGAACCACTGAAAAACCTACTGGACAGCAAAGTGGGCCAAAGTCAAGCTTCAATCCCCCAAATGTGCATTCAGCTACAATACACACAGATCATTACAGTGAAACAGGGGCAACAAATCACAGCCAGTTCTATCTTTAATGTTGTCTTTCAGAGCAAAATTTACTTATAACTTTTTAGGAAGCTGGTGATTTGTGTGGTTATTATCAAAAGCAAGAATGAATAAGCTCAAAGTAGCAACCAGCCAAAGTGTTTTAATGCAGCAGTCGAACGATTCGCCTTTTAGAGACCAGCCACAGGATGGAACACCCACACCAAACAAATTTGTTACGGGTCAAGTCAATGGTCTGTTTTTGAAGAATGACGTAAGAATCTTTTTGGCAACAGCGCCACCTAAGGGAGGGTGTGTGGACATGCATGTTTATGCAAGGGTAAAAAAATGCTGAAAGTGTAACTGCAAATGCCATCCTGGCCGCAGCCTGCTTTTAAAGCTATAACTGTTTTTGGAAATTCCAAATATATAAGGAGCAATGTTTGTTCACAGGCCACTAAATGCTCAGACGCTTTTGCCATATATATGTATATAAAAGCAAATGGCAAATAACAATTGTTTAACATGTATAATCTTTGTTTTTTGGAAAACAAGATAGAAATACATAGATATTCTGTAAATTTGCATACCCCATCCATAAATTAAATAAATTACTTGTATAAATAGCAAAATGTTACTTTTTGTTTGTTGTCCGAATGATGCAGCTGCGTTCCTCTGGATCAACCGAAAGACTGTAGACCTCTTTGGGGTAGGGAAGGTTCCGGACTCGCCACTGAAAACAGGTTTTGGTGTCTTTACGCATAAACACCGGCTGGAAAAAAATAGACAAAATGAAAGTCCAACGCTGATTCAACAGAATGAGAATTTTTATTGACTGAAAGGACTATTAACTACATCATGTTAGGGTTAGTGTGTTTGTCTCAATATAGAGTGAATGCACGGCCGGACCTGGGTGTTGTGGTTGCCGTAGGTGACATTTTCAGTAGCATGGGGCGTCTAGCTGTTAGCTAGCTGGCATGTGCTTCACAGAAAAAGTAATGAAATATTAAAACAGTGTAAATGTCACAGAATGCAACCAGAAGTATTTCTTTTATTTTTCTCTCGCCCGTATGCACCCCCTGATCAAACGGTGCCCTAGACAATCGCCTATGCTGGGGGGGGGGGGGGGGAAACCCCCGTTCACCTCAAAAAATTTTTTTTACCCCAAGGGGGGGGGGGAAACCCCCCCCCCCCCCCCCCCCCGCCACACTCCAGCATCTGCCCAGTACATCTGCCATGGTCCCAGCATGTTAGTTGTTAATAAAACTTAATAAAAAATATAATTGATCTCTACTGGCTGGGCACCACAGATACCTCCATTAACATTTCCTCTCCTTGTCTGACCCTAATTTCTAAACAAGGGAGGGAAATTACTGGTAATTAGAGTCCTAGAGTACTGGGACATTACTGGTGCAATGGGCATGAATTATTAGTATGATTAAAAATATATTTTAGATTTTTATTACGTTATTACTATCTGTGACACTGTAGGACAATTGATTGGAAAATTGATGAATTTTATTATTAATTGACTGATTTCTTTATAAAAATCTCTTATGCAGGTCTGAATGATCATGAGCAACTACCATAAACCATCAATAAACCATCACATAACAAAAAGCATAGCAAAATATTTTATAATTTTACAAATGGAGTACAGACAAAAAGAAGTGTAAAAAATGTAGAAATGGGTCTTCAGTGTACAGTCATTGCCTAAATTATACACATTCCAACAAATTGTTGTGTTTACATTTTATTATTGTCATACTTTGATTTATTTTATTTTTTGCACTTGTCCTCTCTACATCTGCACTCTATATACTGTACCAGGGCTATTCAACTCGCAGTCCTCAAGGTCCGAGTCCTGCTGATTCTATTGCCTTTCTTTACCTGTGAGCCAGGTGTGAAGCCTCTGACCAATCAGAATCAGTAATTATTAAACTAACAACCTGGGAGAACTGAAAACAAGGCCTGGATTTGGATTTAAAGAGTCCTGGTATATATGCCACGGTCCTGGGGGATGTTATTTCGTGCCTGCATGTACGGGTGGTGTGTCAATAAAACCCCACTTGACTAAAATATAAGTCAGATCCTTTGTTATTCTGGGGGAGCTGGTCTCTCGGCCCAGTGACGCCCCCTGAATGGACTTGGCCGTTTTGGCTTCGGGCTTGTGGAAGAGAAGCCGGCTTCCGCATAGTAAGAAGAGGCAGACCTATGGAACAAGTCAGTCTGATAAACAGGCTGGGCGTCAAGGGCCTTGGGTGTTGGAAGTAGAAACTTACACAGTAGCTTGAGAGCAGCATACGTAGCCCTGCCTTGCTGCCGAGCCAAACCGGACGCTGGCTGTAGACTCACGGACATACTGGAGCTTAATTAACAGAGCGGAAAAGAGCCCGCAGAGCAAAGTGTTGCAGTAAACCGGCCTGGTTGGGACAATGTTTCGGGCATTCTCCACCAATCAGGGACAAGAGCGGCCCTTCAAACAGCACTCGAGGGATGGAGGGGTGACGTAGTCGCAGTCGTACTCATGGTACCTTCAGACGCCAGCGACGAATCCGAAAAGATCAACAGACCATGAGGAACGGTCAAAGCCCAGATACCAAAACTGCCAGGATCCGCAGAGAAGCCACCCAGGTGAGCTGTGAGTTCCAATTGGACCTCGGCGTTCAGCTTCATCACAGATCAGCAGGACAAGCCTGTCCCTGACCACATATACTAAATCGGTTTCGTCTGAAGTGCTATTAGCAAAAGCCTGTCATGCTGAAAATGTCTCGCCGTGGCACCTACTTGTTTCGGGGCTTTGGTGTATTAGGTTTCAAAATACATGCCGAAAGGCAGGAAATGGCAGCTACAGGACACTTGATGAAGAGTTACATGTCAACACTCAGCCCGAACAGGCTCACAACACATTTGAGTCAGTATCATTCTGAAATCTTTCAGGCCAGACTGATGCATTTGCCCACCTCTCTAAAACTCCAAAGGTGATATTATATTGGTATGGCCTTTTTATCTTTGTATGGCTTTCATTTCTGTTCCATATTTTGTGTGCACCCCTTATTCAGGTTCCTCAATGACTTTCAGATTTGATAACAAACAACAGCTGAAGACTGTGCGAATGGCCACACAGCTACAGTATTTAACCAATCCAATGATGTATAGATACCACACTAATATATTACCATCCTTTATAGTGAAATTACACATAACACATATATTATCCTTCACTTGCATCTGTTAAATATACTGGACTCAAATCTGAGAGCACTTTGGTATGGAAAATACCAAACAGTGTGGTACATTTCTTTTTAATTGTTATACACAGATCCCAGCTGGTGCCATTGCATACCCTGTACAATAATAATCTGTAATGATTATGTGTTGCTGAGTTGTAATAAAAAGGAAATTAGGTTTGCTAACAACCAGGAACATTAAAAAAAATACAGAAATATTCAGTGTGCTGTCAATCAGTACGCATGAGCTTATGATTTGTGTAATCCACACAGCCTGACTCAGAGAAAAACAAAATGAAAAAAGAAAATCAAAACATAAATTCATGTTCGGGGAAACTGAAGGAAATGAACAACCTAGAGCCAAAAGTGTTTAAACACCCTTGGCTCACACGCTAATAGCAAAAGACAGAGACAATTCTGTGCTAATCTGTTTTTAGCAAGGTGGGTATTAGACTGTCATGCCAGCAGTTTGGTTAGCAACTGGGACGCCGCTAATTACAGACAGTATGCTATATATTTGTTGCATCATTTTACATCATGTCAAGTCACAGCATATGAAATGCTACACTTTATGTTGGGCTTGGACAGTGCTGGACAATCAGCACCTTCCCACAGCATGGATATCTACTTTTAAAATTACTTCCAATCAGTGTGACGTAGCAGCATTCAAAATTTTAAGTCGATTCATTTAAAAATGAGTTTAAACCAGTCTCACGATACCCTTGTCATTTAAAACAATGGATTAAAATTCAGTCAGATATATATAATGTTAGCATAATTAAAAGCACAATAACAATGGCTGTCTTTCATCTGCATGGAAGACCATTCGGTCTGGTTATAAGGAAAGCTATCTGAGCATGAACAAGACTGTGTGAAAAGATCCCGGGAAGGTGAAACACTCGTATTCTTTAAGAAAAGAAGCAAAAAAAGAAAGAAAAAGAAAACAGCACTGAAGCTGAGCTTTGAAGTCCACGGGGCAGGGCCACACACAATAAAGTTAGAACCCTTGGGGGAAAAAGGTCATTCTTCCTTAAAAGTCTGGGTGGCCAGTGTCTACGGTGCAAATCACATATGCTCTTCGCAGGAATTGCAAGTGCAATACCACCTTGAAGAGGCTGTGAAACATTTCAGTGGGCCTTTTTTACAGCACTTTAGAGGTACTTAAGAGGGGTTACAGGCCATTGTTGCTCCCACCAGCTTGCCAAAACACGCACTGACATCGGTAAATCTGGACAAATGAAAACGTTTATTTTTTTGTAACCATTGTTGCTAAATTTGTTGGATTTTTTTTTTTTTTTTTTAAACATTTGAAGATGACATTGGACGGTGTTACCAGCTTGCACTTTGGTCTGTTAAACCCAGCAACCTGGATGTTACAGCACTCAATAAAGACAAAAGACTGACTGAACACTTTACACATAAATATGCCTTCATTTACAAAAAAAAAAGTCTGTTCAGAAGAAATCTAGAGAAAATACAAGTGACGAATACATAATTTAGTACCTGGGTATGAATTTAACACCTTGAAGTGAGACCATTGCCTAACAGCCATGCTGTTTTATTTGAGGAAGTCCAAAACATGTCATATTCACATTCATATTCCACAGCAGCTCACTGGGTTTTGCAGTCCGCATCTCCATCATTGACACTCTTCATCTTCTTCAGATTTTTTAGCAGATCTTCTTCTAGAGTCAGAATCTCCTTGGGCTTCTTATACTGGAAAAATAAGAACGAGCGGGAGAGACACCTTCAGCTGCCAGTCACCAAAATCAAGAATAATAATAAAAACTGATCATTAGTGCCTAACTTCTGAGCTTGTGCGAGTACAACAAGTAGTTCTCTGTGCCGGATGCTGTGGCTACATATTAGAACAAGGACATTTAGGAAAGGCAACAGGAACTGATTTTACACATAAATATTCGTTTTACTGTCAATCATTTCACCGTTAAAGAAGCAAGAATGAGAGAAAAGACGTATGAAAACACACAGAATAAGGCCCATAAACACACACACACACTATTCACATATTAGTCTTATGCACATTCTGGTTCTGGAGAGACTGACTAGTTAAACTGCACCGTAATGACAGTTCCATGGCACTACTGCACATCTGTGCGATGCCATAAAACCTCACTCTAACTCCTGCAAGCAGAAATGACATCCTTCACATGCTTAGCGACGAACTGTTAAATCAATGAGCTCAGATCTGGAAATGCAGCAGCTGGTGGCAGGAGCTTGTCTGTGAGCTCATCCACGGCATCAGGACTTACGCTAATAATTAAAGTGTTGTTGGCATGAGTGAAGGTGAGGGCAGAGCTCTCCAGTGGCAGCTGGCACCTGTCCAGGTCTGGAATGCCGAACTTTTTATAATATCTAAAGCAAAGTAAAAACGATGAGCGTTATTGACTTTAAATGCCAGCTACATACAAAAAAAACAAAAAAAACCACATACAACTCAAATGATATAACAGCAAATTGGGAACTACCCAGTCATCCTACAAAAAAGTAATGGAATAAATTAGATGAGGCAAAGAAATGCATATAAAACAATGATATAGTTTAATGAGCTTAACGTCATCTCCCAAAGGAGACATTGGTGTTTGCAAGCCACTCCTCTAAAGTGATGTCCAGCACAACTCAGATCCCTTGACTTGCATAGACACTGCCTGTCCTTGTATGTCACCACCGACCTTCTTAGCTAAATGACAGGATGGGCTGAGCCTACTAAGCTAAAATAGAAGAAAAAAAACTATATCTAGAAGAAAATCAAGTGATCCTTTCGCTTTGACAGGAAGGGGGAAGTGAAATGTTTCACTGTCACTTCAAGAAAAACAATCCTCATCTTCCAGTCTTTAAAGGGGATTATTCTGAACTTTGCATCCATGATTCTTTGTTGTGGAAATTTAGCCAGGCGTCCTCCGCACAAGCAGCACACGCTCGTACACATCACTCGAGAGTGCGGCAAGTTAAAAGTTTTCAGGCGGCAACCAGGTGTGAACCGGAGGGTCCCGTAGTGATGCAAGATGAGGCTACAGGAAAACTATCCAAGGGACAGAAGCGGGAACGCCACAGGCTTCCTGTGCCAACTTGAGGAAGAACAGAGAAATAAAGCCCCCAGAAAGAGAGAGCCAAGCTCGGGGCTAAACGCTGAGATCTGTGCATTTTCACTCAGGGAATGCTTTTCAAAGTGAGAGTTTTCTCATAGGCAGGGGGGATTTGAGGGATTATCGGCTACACCTAAGAAACACACCACAGGAAAGAAAAACACTTTTTTTTCCTGAGTATATTATCATTTATTCCCGTTTTCTCGGGGAAGACGTTGTTGAAGTGGTCTTAGTGAGCGACGGGGCACTTGTCTGTACGCGTACCCCCGGTTCTGTAATTAAAGGACAGCCTTGGGATAAAGAATGTTGAACATGCCTCCTTTGCACCTGAATAAATCACAACAAATCGGAGACAATTTAAGCTAGTGTGACGGGTGAGGGAGAAGCTATTACTGAAAGTCCTTTTTGGACCCCATACGTGATATTACAAGAATTCAAAATTCCTGTCACGCAATAAAACTACGTTTGTGATCAATATAAGAATGACACATACCTGCTAGTACATTTCATTACCTAACTTTTGTTTACTGTCAGACGACATTTGAAGGAGACAGATTAATGACTGAGGGGATTGCAGTGGAAATCTGTTCTTAAAGTCTTCATTGCGAATGTATTCCCAAGACAAATGCCGGCCAAGCCCTGGAAAACCAGGCTATCATATTGTGCAAGCAAACTGCTAAACAAGTGAAAGACAATCTCAAAAGTCACCTTGGCTGCAACACAGTAAGCTAATAGTTTACAGGGAGGAAAAAAATCCAATGTAATTGCAAGACATCTGAAGTCCTGTCAAATGCTCAGATAAAATACTAGCAGGTCATGTCAGTTATTAACCAGCAATTTCATTCAATCTGTGTTGCCATTTTTTGATAGTTTCAAGAGCACATCCACATACTGCTATGAGAAAATGGTGAAAATGCCTGTGCTTTGTGGCATTTTTGTTCTTCAGTGTGAAAAGATATCATCATGCTCAGTGTCACTTTTCAGTGTGCATGTGTGTGTGTGCGTGTGTGTGTGTGGGTTTGCATAGATCATATTTGAGGACCAAATTGTCCCCAAACTGTAGTAAAACCTGAAATTTCCCTACTTTTGGGGACATATTTTGAGGTCCCCATTTGGATAACCTTAGTTTTATAAAAATCTGTGAATGCAATCAAAAAAGTAAAAATGCCAAAAGTCTTGTATTTGGGGTGGTTACTTATGGTTAAGGTTAGGGATGGGTAGGGGTTAAGGGTGTCGTGATTGGGATTAGGGTTTTTCCCATAGAAATGAATGGACGGTCCCCATTTAGATAGGAAGACCAACTTGTTATATATATATATATATATATATATATATATGCAATGAAAATGGGTGCATTATATTTTGCTGTACATTCAACTTATCCACAGACTCTGCAAATGACCTGTGAATAGTCTTGACTACCAAATCATGTCTGACAGCTGTAACATCTGTCAGACATTAAAACACACAATCAGTCTCTTTCCATTTGTGCACTTAAACAGAACCACTGAAAAACCTACTGGACAGCAAAGTGGGCCAAAGTCAAGCTTCAATCCCCCAAATGTGCATTCAGCTACAATACACACAGATCATTACAGTGAAACAGGGGCAACAAATCACAGCCAGTTCTATCTTTAATGTTGTCTTTCAGAGCAAAATTTACTTATAACTTTTTAGGAAGCTGGTGATTTGTGTGGTTATTATCAAAAGCAAGAATGAATAAGCTCAAAGTAGCAACCAGCCAAAGTGTTTTAATGCAGCAGTCGAACGATTCGCCTTTTAGAGACCAGCCACAGGATGGAACACCCACACCAAACAAATTTGTTACGGGTCAAGTCAATGGTCTGTTTTTGAAGAATGACGTAAGAATCTTTTTGGCAACAGCGCCACCTAAGGGAGGGTGTGTGGACATGCATGTTTATGCAAGGGTAAAAAAATGCTGAAAGTGTAACTGCAAATGCCATCCTGGCCGCAGCCTGCTTTTAAAGCTATAACTGTTTTTGGAAATTCCAAATATATAAGGAGCAATGTTTGTTCACAGGCCACTAAATGCTCAGACGCTTTTGCCATATATATGTATATAAAAGCAAATGGCAAATAACAATTGTTTAACATGTATAATCTTTGTTTTTTGGAAAACAAGATAGAAATACATAGATATTCTGTAAATTTGCATACCCCATCCATAAATTAAATAAATTACTTGTATAAATAGCAAAATGTTACTTTTTGTTTGTTGTCCGAATGATGCAGCTGCGTTCCTCTGGATCAACCGAAAGACTGTAGACCTCTTTGGGGTAGGGAAGGTTCCGGACTCGCCACTGAAAACAGGTTTTGGTGTCTTTACGCATAAACACCGGCTGGAAAAAAATAGACAAAATGAAAGTCCAACGCTGATTCAACAGAATGAGAATTTTTATTGACTGAAAGGACTATTAACTACATCATGTTAGGGTTAGTGTGTTTGTCTCAATATAGAGTGAATGCACGGCCGGACCTGGGTGTTGTGGTTGCCGTAGGTGACATTTTCAGTAGCATGGGGCGTCTAGCTGTTAGCTAGCTGGCATGTGCTTCACAGAAAAAGTAATGAAATATTAAAACAGTGTAAATGTCACAGAATGCAACCAGAAGTATTTCTTTTATTTTTCTCTCGCCCGTATGCACCCCCTGATCAAACGGTGCCCTAGACAATCGCCTATGCTGGGGGGGGGGGGGGGGCAATCACATCCAGAAAGGGCCGTTGGGTATGCGGGTTTTCGTTTCCGCTGCCTAATTAGATTACTAATTAGAGGACTAACTGGCTGAAGAGTCCTCACACCTGGGTTTGAACAGCTGACCTAAAGGTTATCCCAAAAACCTGCGTACACACCGGCCCTTTGCGGATAAGACTGCCCACGCCTGGTCTATGGGAACCTAGGGTGGGCGGGCCCGGGGTGAATGAGAAGCACATAATTACATTGTGATCAGAGGTGGATAATTCAGGTCCAAAAACAAAATCCAAACCAAGATTTTGTTTCAACCAACTAGAGCATAGAGTGATAATCACAGAGGACTCAACTGTTGGTTGAAACAAAACCTTGGTCTGGATTTTCACTTTTTGGACCTGAACTATTCACCCCTGGTTGTAATTTATCTGTGTCTGACCTACATTTGAACAATTTTCCTTTATCAGTTGATGCTCCAGCACAGCCTCCGTGGAGAGGAAGGATTCACCAACTTCCATCTCCCATGGCCCCTGAGCTCCCAGTTTACTCTTCGTGCGCCACTTTCGTACTTAGAAAAATCGTGAAATGTGTTTAAAGTCAAAACCATGAACACGGCAAACCTGAAGGCTGAATGCAGCTGGAATTCAACCACAACCACATGAACCAGAACCTACCAGCAAGTTCATCCGTTTTCATATCATACTCTTCTGCCATTTCTTTCCCATCCGAAAACAGGTAGTGCACTTTGCGCTTCCCTGAAAATCCATTCAATCCAGTCATATTATTCACACATCGAGCACCTGTCAAGAACATCTGTAGTATAAGACGTGTCAGCTTTTAAGGCATCCAACAACTAAACGCATAAGTAACTGCAGCATTTCAACGAAACAATTCGGAAGTGTGCCAAATAAATAACGTTAAATGACGAAGCAGTCGATATTTTCAGGAGAAATACACATATACACATACAGAAAACATGCTAGCTGTACACAAGCATACCGTTAGAGTCAGAATACAATTAACCAATTCAGCTTATTTAACAAATTTTCATGCAACGGTTATTAATAGAACACGTTTTTTTCTTTATATTCATTACTAACATTATATATTTCACTTACTAACCATCGTGAACTAGAACAGTTTTTCTCGAAGATTTTAAAAGGTCTACCCAACTCTGCGCCGCCATATTTTGTAACCCAGGCAACTGGATGCAAAAGAGCCTGAATGGTAATTAGATCTCAAATAAACTAACTTAAAACGTCGATTTTTGACCATTCAATAAACCCTTACGAAATACCGCATTCAAAATTTCAGTACGTGCTGTAATTTCAAACGTGTTATGTGCAGTTGGTTTCCATCGTGTTGTAGTACACCCGGAAATACCCGATGCCAACCCGGAATTACCCGATGCAGACCCGGAAGTATTTTTGCGTTTGAAACCGTGCCGAGTAGGCTATCACGCGCTTGACGTGAGCACCTTGAATGTATCGTAGTGTCAGAATCAGAAAAATTGAACAAATGAGTTTACTGTGAAATTCTGCTCATCTTCTCAGTGTTTGCATTCTACATTTAATGTGAGACGTCGGATTCAGATGCCAGTAGGAGAGCGAATGTTACCTGGAAATAATTATTTACTAATAGTAGGGGAGAAGTACCGCAGATTTATACTGTATCAGTGTGGATCAATATGATAACTTATTATGGATTGATTGTATAATGATATTCTTTAGCTTTCTGTCCAGTAAAGTGTCTTCGTAGTTCGGGATCTAAGTCTCCGATGGAAATGGAACTTCATGGAATTTTTAAAGCCTTTCCGAAAATCAAAAGGCAGAGTGCCCTGGAAAGGGAAGCGGCACCTCCCAACAAAAAGAAAGTACAGGAGACAGTAACTGGTAAATAATCACTCGTCGACATCACCGTCATCGTTATTTTCTTAAAATTATTTGCATTTCAGATTGGGAGTTTGGGTACAGCTGCAAATGTTTACAGAAAATGAAATGAACAAAAAATCATTTAGTTCAGTACTTTTGTGATATTCTGCATATCATCGTGTGTCTCACGATTGCTTTTTTGCATTCTCTTCAGGTAATTTCCTTAGTGGTGTGAAAATACACATACTTTCGGCTGGTATTGGCAGTGCTCGGTGTAACATATTTGAAAAACAAATCGCCCAAAATGGGGGGCTATTTGAGCGCGCCTTATGCCCCACGGTCACCCATGTTATTGTGGACGACTCCATGGACCGTGACCGTGCTTTGCGGTTGCTCAAGATGGACCGGCTTCCTGTGTCGATTGAGCTGGTGAAGAGTTCGTGGCTGAGTCAGTGCATCAGTGAAAAGAAATTAGTCGACACTGCAAACTACAGCCTGCCCATACCTGATAGGTACTAAAAGATACCATCTTTTTTCTTTAATGACTAGTTATTTGTACTTGTTTTGTTTGTTGCGTTCAATACAATGCAAATAGAACACTGAAGAGTAAGACATTGAAATGTTTATGTCAAACTGATAGATTGTTTTGAGAGTACATAACTTGATCCGGGATAACTAAACTGTAGAACAAATAATAGTTACTCAAACCATGAAAATTTGCACTGCAGTTAGGACTAAATGTTATGGTTCTGGATATCATTTCTTGAGGTGAATATATTACCGAGAATATGGAGATGAAGGAAAATGTAAATTCTAGTTATGATGTTTAAATTCTCCTTCTTTTGATTAATTGTGAATTTTGAAGATACCTGGAGACTCAGAAAACAGAAGAAGATTCATACAGTGGTGCTTCGTGCAGTACGGTCTCAGAGATTCCTGTTCCTGCTGAAACGAATGAAGATGGTACATCAGAGCAGGTAGGACAGAAGCCACCTCAGCGGTGCTCATAAAAAAATTCCAATGGCCGTAAAAGTGATTTTATAAATTGGATTCACAGTAGTTGATGTTAATTTTTAATAATCTCTGTGTTAAATGTACAGTTTTAATATCTGCTGTGACAGAAGTGCTGCTTTGGAGTGCACAACATTCTTGTAAATTCACATTTTGATATATCGTATGTATTTTGACTGTTTTTTAAGGTGTCTGAAAGAGCTGATGAGCACAAAGAGGAGGATGGCGTCTCGCAAAATGATCTCGATGCTCTCATTAATGGGCTCAACCCCGTGGGCGAGACGTCAAGCCTGGGAGAAAAACCTGTCTCGGGAAAGTGGGTCTGCGCTCAGTCCTCCGTTGCCAAGATTCAAAATCACAACCAGCACATCACAGATAAGCTGGAAGTTCTGGCCAAGGCGTACACACACCAGGGTGATAAATGGAGAGTGCTGGGTTACTCAAAAGCCATAAATGCTCTAAAGAGCTACCACAAATCCATTGATTCATATGAGGTAAGTCATTAACATCGAAAGTCTCTTAGCAGAGTAGTTTGCACAATATGGCTATCCAAAGAAGTTAAATAAGCAGCCTTTTGAGCTTTTTTATCGTTGACGTAGCATGGGGCTGGGAGATATAACGATAATTATCACGATATTTTCCTTAATACCGATAAAACAAATGCTTGATATAACGTTGATGTTAGACCCAACATGTCCCCGGCGGCACGTTTTGCATCATATTGAAATGACGTCACTTTCTCTGTGACTGCTTGTCAGGACCAACAATGAAGTACAAGTGCCGACACAGCCATAAAAATACAAATGGGAGATATATTGAACAAATAAGAGAATACAATAGGGCAGGCAGACGTAAGACAACCCAGACAACACAACAGGGCAACTCACTGTAAGAGCAGGTAAGTCCAAAGCAGCCTGCCCCATAAGAGTAATCCAGCAAAATCCAAAATGAAATTCCATAGTAAAATTCAGTCCACAAGAAATCCACACCGTGATAGTCCGCAGAGAATCCCGAGACACTAGGAAGAATGCAAGCAGTGACGCTTTGTTAGCACTGAGTAAATTAACTTGTTCAACTTCTGTCTCAGATTTCTGAAATGTGAATTGCTGCTTGGCAAATGTTTGTCAGGTTCTGATGATACAGAATAGTCTAAAGCCACAATTAATCATCTCGTTTCATCAACTTTCATTCAGGAGCAAAAATCAGCCTTTAAACTGGACAGTAGTAATGATTTGGCATTTATCGTGATAATTATTAATATCAACAGTTTCAACAGTAATATCAGAATTTCTATGGTGGTAACATTTTTGGCCGTATCGCCCAGCCCTAGTTCGGCATGGAGTCAACATATTTGACAGGTAGCGATTACCATTCTCCTGCAAGAAATTTTGACATTTCAGTTTGAATCCACTTATACAATTTTCTTTGGTCAATTCTCGAATAGTCTGGTGATCAGGAGGACCGTGAAAAATAGGTTAGTCTGTCCTTGCCCTCCTTGGATATTCAGTTGAAAACATACAATTTCAGTTACTGAAGGTTTCTCTTCCTGTAAATGCTTATACTCTCAGCAGGAAAGAGATTCTGTTATTCCCTACTGGATGGTACTGTTATATCAAGGTTTTTTTTTCATGGAATAAAATGTGCACCCTAGTATTATATTACTGTTGGAAAGTTTCTGTTAGGAGCAGGCTTTCAAAGATCTAGAGTCCCGTAGGTTTTACTACTAATGTACATATCTGTTCATCATGACTGTGCTGAGGAGAGGTGCTTTCTTTGATATAGTACACGCTGTATTGCGAAAGATATATCCACATGGTTACTTTTCTCCTATCTATCTGGAATCTTTTGGTGCTCACTGTAGCTTCTCAATGACAGGCCGGTTTCTTGTTTGCCTCAAGATCACATTACCTAGCAGTTCACTTGTGAAAGTCTGACAATTTCTTTAGCTTGTCAGGGTTAGGCACCTAAGGTCTTCCATGGACTCAATGTTGACTTTTTATAAGTTCTGTAATCATTCGTAATCGATCATGCACTTTGATTTGTTGATTTAAATGGCATAATTGAATGCTAATTTTTCTATTCAAAGGAGGCATGTAAGATCCCAGGCATTGGAAAGCGTATGGCTGACAAAATCCAAGAGATTATGGAGAGTGGACACCTTCGAAAGCTGGACTACATTGGACAGGATGTTCCTGTACTAGAACTCTTTAGCAATATCTGGGGGGCTGGAACAAAAACTGCAAAACTCTGGTACCAGCAGGTTAGAAACCTTTTATTAGAATATTTTGTTATTAATGTGTCTGATATTTTCATTTCTTTCCTTAGTTAATGGAAAACCTCTGACAGCTGTAAACTGTGACTTTAGTACTGGGTTTAAAAAAAAAAAAGTGTTTTTTTTTGTTTTTGTTTTTTGTGACTTAAGGGTTTTCGCACCTTGGAAGATATCAGTACTAAGGCTCAGCTCAATTCCCAGCAGAAAATTGGACTCAAGCACTACGATGATTTTCTGGATCGGATGCCAAGAGAGGAGGCCGCTGCTATTGAGAAAACTGTAATGTTACTTTTTCTTTCACAGTCACTGTTTTTGTTGTTTATGTATCACATACAACCTAGAATCAGAATATATGTGACTTTTTCCAGATGTCATATATGACCTGTTGTGAAAAAAATAAATGTATCAATGAGCAGGATAGGCTGTTAGAAGGTGGATGGATATATTTCTAGATTGCAATGCATAGAAATTGTTACACATAACTATATACACCTTTAAGTAACAGTAGGAAAGTCAGCAACACCAAATCTGCGCCAGATCATCTTCAGATATAAAAGAATACTTTTTTAAAACTGGTTACTTTTTATCTTAGTGCCCACAATATGAACCTGTTTTATATTAATCTGTGAATGCAAAAAAAAAAAAAAAACTAAAGTAGCTAAAAGTCTTGAATTTTGTTTGGTTACTTATAGTTAAGGTTAGGACTGGGTAGGGGTTAAGGCTGTCATTGTTGGGATTAGTGTTATGTCCATAGAAATTAGTGGATAGTCCCCGTAAAGATATAGATACCTAATCTGTGTCTGTGTCTGTGTGTGTGTGTGTACACAGGTGAAGAATGCTGCTCATTGCCTGAACCCTGGACTCCTAGCAGTGGCGTGTGGCTCTTACCGCCGAGGAAAGACCACCTGCGGAGATGTAGATGTTCTCATCACTCACCCGGATGGAAAATCTCATAGGAACGTCTTCTGTCAATTACTGCAGAACCTCCACCAAACTGGTAGGGCACACTCACATTGTGTGGAAGCCTTCTGGAATCTCCTCAAGGGTCAGATTTCATAGGAGCTGTCATTGTCCTTTGTCGATGCAGGGTTTTTAACCGACGATCTAGTCAGCCACGAAGGGAACGGAGAACAGATGAAGTACCTGGGGGTGTGTCGTCTGCCGGGCCCTGGTCAACACCATCGCAGGCTCGACATCATCGTGGTGCCGTACGCCGAGTTCGCATGCTCCCTGCTGTACTTTACCGGATCCGCTCACTTCAACCGTTCCATGAGAGCTCTGGCCAAAACCAAGAAAATGAGCCTGTCAGAGCACTCCCTGAACAGAGACGTGATGCGCCAAGGCAGCCTGAAGGTGTGCACAGGAATCCCGCTGTCCACGCCCACCGAAAGGGACGTCTTCACATTTCTCGGCATCCCTTACAGGGAACCCCACGAGAGGGACTGGTGACGGAGTACTGCACTCGTTAACCTGCCCGACGGCCAAGTGGTTGTTTACGGGTAACTGGTAACTTGGCATGCTCTAAAATATGGCGTTTCCCCACCTTTTGATAACTGTGGACTGGTCTATGTTGTGCAAAAATTTCAAGGACCGGTAAAACTTGTCAGCTTGGGGCTGCATGGCGGTGGTATGCTGATGGTCGGACCTAATGGGTCGTAAGAAGGGCAAGGCTTGAAAATTCATAGCATTCTGCAGCCGGGTGGAATAGTAGGGGTGGACCAGTCCCGGATCCCATTCTAAAAGAACTGCTATTCCGTGATAAACTACTGTGCTGATAGAAGTAAATCTACCTATAAATTTAAGTATAGTTTCAAGATGAAGATGAATCATATGTGGGTTGTGTCATATCAAACTTAAAGCTGTTGATTTGACCTTTTAATCTGATAATTAAATTCAATGAGAGAATACTGGATTTTATCAGAATTTGGTGACACTTGTGGTAACTTACAGTTCATAAATGATCGGAATGTTTTTAAAAAGAACATGAATGTGTACACATTAATAAACAGTACTTGAAATATGGCTTTGGCCTCTTGAAATTTAATTAAAAAATGAAAATGACAACTGCAAAATGAAAAATTCTTCAAAAATATATTATAGTTTGTATTTATGTCTTGTATTGAGGCCTTTACATATGTAATTATGCTTCCCTGGCGTAAGTGGATTGAAGGGCTCAACAGTGATAACACGCTGCTAACAACGGGATTCAAACCAACACCCTTCCGATCACAACACCATATCCACCACGCTAAATTTATTCATTCACTTCGTCACAAAATTGTTTGACCCAAAATATATCTAACAGTATTATTTAAACATCTATACTTGTGGGAACTGCTTTTCAGTTTTTTTGTATTACATTTTTAAATACGTCTATGTTCACTTCTAAAACAAAATAGGCACGGGATCACACTCAGGAATAAAACATTCGAAAACAATATTTTCCCTGTATGTTACAAACCTTATAAACTTGGACATGAATGCGCTGGAATGAATCGCAGACAGGGATCCGGTTACGTAAAAAGATCAATGACAACCACAGCGTAAGGTCAGCACAGTGCATGTCACGTTTTGTGCCAGCGAGCAGCACGGCCTTCCTTCGCGCTCCTCAAAGCCACACCCGGGAGAAGAGACTCCGAGTGACAGGCAGGCCACGAGCCGCTGCTACATGACACTCATTCCAGCCAATGGCAGCTGCACATGGGAAATGCCCCTCTAGAATACAGCCAATCATGAGGCAAATGGGCGGGTCCAGGTCCGGGTACTTAATTAGTTATGTAGCTCGGGGGTCTGACGAGATTACCAGGGCTAAAGGGAAGTTGTCGCTATACAGTATATATATATTTTTGTTTTTTGGAGTTTGTGCTGTACATGCGTTGACAGCGAGGCGTCAGTCTGGCTCTCAACATGGGCATGTTTTTGCTCCAAATCGTTTCCGTTAGCTCCACCGCGACGGCAGTCGAGGAGGTAAGAACTTTACTCGGCTACATGGCTAGTTAGCGCAGCCGCTCGCTAATAATAAAGTGATCCCAGAAACCCGGGCCTGCCGGCCTGTCGGCGTGCTTGGGACTACCGGTAACTGCGAGCTGAAGGAGATTGTTACCTGGCTGTCTGAACCGTACTATTTAAGTTATTTGGTTTCCGTCCAGCGATGCGGCCAGGCAGCCTGCTAGCCGCGGCTAGGTCCGTATCGCGTTGCTGACGGCCACCACTTTTGCCTCCAGTGTTCGGTGTCTGACGCCTGAAGAGAGTGCCAGCTTGTGGGGTAACCGTGGCCTTTTTGTGGTTTCCTCCAATACTTCGTTGTTAGTTGGTTAAATGGGTTGGTTAAGTTCCCACTTTTGACGCGTCTTCCCCTGTTGGGAATTGCCTTCTTTGAGAAACTATGCCTCGTAAAAATATGCGAATTTCAATTTTTACTAACAAATTAGAAGAGCTAACATTTTTATTGACTAATTACATATTTTTTTATGTGTTTTAATACCACTGACAAATGCCAAGGCCTTAAATGCTGTCACAGTGTTTCGTCCCTTACTCGGGAATTGGGTAGCTCTTTTTAAACAACTGATAGACTACATTCATGTTTTAAATGAGTTATGCAAGACAAATAGATGATGTGCAGGCTGCGTTAAATACAGTTAATTAAAACAACAGGAAGCAAAGTCCAGATGTTGCATTTCATGAAAACTTCACAGGTTCCTAAAAGCGACACGTAGAGCTGCGTGTTCTCTTGGCAGGACATGTAGTTCTGTATAATGATCACACGGTGCACATTCCTCTCTCATAATCCGCTTATCAGTTCACCTTGTATTAGGTGTATCTAGTTGTGTTCTAACCAATATTACCTTTTTAGTGGTAAATGTCAAGTGTCAGTTCTTAAGATCCACCTGAGCTTTCTCTATGAGCAATTTGCCAGAAGTCTAAAGTCCATTTCTGAATATAAGTATTAGTATTCCTGTAGTCTTATACTTGTAAATGATTGATTTTTTTTATTACTGTGAACAGTACTTGCATGATAAATTTGCTTACCAGGATTTAAAATTTTATTTAAAACCGTGTATTCATAGGGAAATTTTATTAGGTCTTGTAGTCTTTGTAGTGACAGCATTTTGCAGTGTCCCCCCCCCCTGTAGCCAGTAATGTCTGTATAAATAGGTATACACTGCACAGGCTGGTTAAAAAAATCTCACACCTATTGCTGCACCACTTGTTCCCAAAACTGGGGTTGATACTTTGACTTCTAGGTCTAAATTTGACAGAGGAAGTAAAGATTTATATTCATCCCCCCAAGTTCAAAACACGAGTCAGTGGAAAATGGCAAAAGCGCAGAGCTCTGTTCACTTTCATGGGAAATACTATCATATATAGCTTTCCTGAAATTAAACAAAAAAGAAATATAGAAATAAACCTCACCATGTATTATCTGTTTATGGAGTTTTTAAGGGATTCACTCATTTTAGTAACTGCTCACTTTTTTGAAATTATATAAAATGTTTAAATAAGTTGTATTAATCCTAGAGTTCATTGACTTCATTATTATTATTATTGCATATTTCCTAATTGTAATATTTAATACTTATGTGGAACTAATTATTGTATCATGCTGTGAATCATTGTGAGCATTATTGTTGTTAAAATGTAATTTCAAGTCTACACCATATTTGATTCTGGGGAAATTGGAATGTGCCCTTAAATTTTTGATACAGCAAGTCTAATGACCACATCTCACCATGCTGTCCCAATTTTGGTTTCGAAAGCTAAATGAAATGTGTGCTTAAACAGGCTTGCTGTTTTCCTTTGATTTTGTCTCCCCCCCCCCCCCCCAAACATGGGAAAGAAAATTGCCATTGTTTTAAGAGTAATTTAATATAGCACTGTTTACTTAATAGTACTAAGTTCCTGTCAGTTTGTTGACCTTGAGGCGGTGATGTTAGTGATGTTGAGCATGGTTGTTCCGCTGGATTATGCAGAACTTTACATAGTACTTGTGACTGTTCTGTCATGTTCACAGCAGTGCTTTGGAAAAAAAAATCGACAGGTGTCAGCCTGTCAGTTTCCTAAGATGGGGTGTAATGTAATGTGTGTGTGTGTGTGTGTGTGTGTGTGTGTGTGTGTTAAAAATGAACTGCTTCTTTTTCAGAACAAATTATACTGCGATGGAGTAAACAATCAGAGCTACACATGTGAGTCAGGACACTGCTGTGGACAGTCTCAGTGCTGCAGTTACTACTACGAGCTCTGGTGTAAGTTCACTCCGTCCCATGTTCTCTACTGGGTTGCAGCTAACTGCAGTATGGTCTCTCAAGGAAGGAAGGGTGGGATGCTCCCTGTTAAACTGACAGCTTTCCCTGCATCCTGTTAGTTTCATCCAGCCTGGTTGTAGGAACAGCTCATGCCGCACCTCATTGCCCATGAGTTGTAATTTTCGGACAGGTTAAATTTTCTGATTGAGCTCTTCTAATGCAGAATATTTTACATGCACCTACCGACAAAACAAATTCAGGTTTTCTCTATAATCATTACTTCTAGTTAAATGTCCACTTTAAAAAAATACTTAAACAAAATACTTAAATCTTAAAATTAGATATGCTCAAGGGAATATGATTTCTTATATTGTCAGTTTGTTAGTAATAGTAAGTTATTGAAATGTGATAGTAACAATAGAATATCTAAATGTTCACTTGAGCATATTGTTTTGTGTGTGCTGTATTTGGCATTGTAATCCTTCCTGGTGCGGGAAGGTGACTCTCCTCACCAACCAGCAAAGTGTTCCTTGCGAAATGGCTGGCCAGAGACACGGCACACCTTGTTCCACCTCCAGACTGAACGGGTTGTTAAGTTTGATGTATGGGGGTTTTGCGCAGAGCACACAAACAGATTATTAACTTTTATAATTGTACTAGTATTTCTGTGTTTTAGGTAGCAGTCTTAAGTAATAGAATCGGATAGTCAACAGAGTTTTTATTTGGATGATTTATTGCAATTCTCGGAGTCCCACCCCCACCCCCGCAGACCCACGGGGTATGGGCTGCGCCTCCCCTTTGCCGACAGCTGTCATCCGCCCGCTAGGGTTCTGGCTGGTGTGGGCCGTGATCTTCATCCTGAGCTGCTGCTGCATTTGCCACCACCGCCGCACAAAGCACAGGCTGCAGCAACAGCAGCGGCAGCACGAGATCAACCTCATCGCTTACCGGGAAGCTCACAATTACTCTTCTCTTCCCTTCTATTTCAGTGAGTCGCCAGCCGCTCCCACACAGCCCTGCATTTTAAACTAATTTCTTCATACCCAGTGTTTCCCTTACCATTATATGGGGGGGGCCCCCTGCCCCCCCAACGGCCCCCCCCCCCCCTCCTGAAGGTCAAGTTAATTTCATTTAATTTTATCTTCTATATAGCACCAAGTCAGCAGTGTAAACTGTAAGAGGGACTTCTCAACCACGAACAGAGTAACAAATATGTTTCACAATGGGATTTTCTGCAAGGAGACCATCTTGCAGCCTGCATGTGGATCTCAATAAATGGGCCAGATGTTTCTGACTTCCCATATCGAGAGGCTCTAGAAATGCTCTTCCAGAAGCCCAGAAAGATACACTGCAGTGACAAAAGCTGCACACTCTGTGTGTCATTAAAAGAAACACATGAACACCATGAATCCTGTCGGTGCCTGTCTGCCCCCCCCCCCCCCCAAGCTGTAAACCTTGGGGAAACACGTGATACCCTTCTGTCTTTGAGCAACCTGGATCTGATACTGTGATACATGATTTGGCTTCTTTGTCTTGATACAGTTTCTGCAGTTTTTTGTTTGTTTGTTAAAGTTATGCACTGTCAGTGCTATGTCGGTGTTATGACCTCAGCATGCGTTTCAGCTTACCCCAGCGAATGCCCAGATGATCTCTTCTGTGTTGTTAGAGTTCATTCTTCCACTGTGTTCGGGTATGATAAGATCACCCACACGGCTTGGTCTTTTAGCCTCTCACAGGCTGCGTTTTTGGCCAAAGATGATGTTTGCTCTGAGATCCATTACACTTCCCAGCATGCCATGTGACAGGGTGTTGTCTGTATGGCTCGGCAGAAAAGGCGGCTCTTATTATGCATAGTTGAAAACACCTCAATAACAATTTGTTTCGACACCCTGTCAGCTTTTGCATTTGTCTTATGCCAGCACAGTCACCTATTTATGTGTGGGGCAGAACGCGTCACATTAGCAGAATTTGTCTCGCGCTTGGCATGCATGTTGTTCACGCTCCATTGCATGGCAGAAGAGAAAGTAGAGGGGGGGGGGGAAGGCAAAACAGCGTCTAAGGGACAGAATAAATGTCCCTCGTCGACGTCTGGCGGAGGCCAGGACAACAATCGGCGAGAAATCATCTGAAAGCAAAACCTGTCGAGACTGACAGTCAGAACACCTTCACCCTCTGTTATGCAGTCTAACCTGCCCTAGTACACTCTGCTCCCAAAACAGGTCGTTACAAAATATTTCATGTGAACCATCTTGGTCCTTAAAGGTGTGTAGTCTCTCACAATGCGTGAGGAAATTAATTAAGTTAACCTTTTCTCTCTCTTTTTTTTTTTAAATTTTGTGCTTTAGGGTTTCTGCCAAATTACCTCTTACCCGAATATGAGGAAGTGGTCAACCACCCCCCCACCCCCCCTCCTCCTTATAGCGCCTTGAACTCCAGTCAGACGGCTGCTTCCAGCCCTTTAACCCCTGAGCACCTGGACGGTCTTCAGCTCCCCTCGCAGTCCACTGCGCACCCCCCCTCCGGAGACGCGCACCCCTCCCACCACAGCGTGGAGGAGTGCACCTTTCCGACAGACTACATCCAAAAAGAGGAGAGCAAGGCCCAGCTGGCTCCGGGTTCCGGCAGGCCCGAGCTTCCGGAAGTTTCTGTCAGGGAGTCACCCTGTCCTGAAAAGCAGGGGGGAGACTGCTGCAAGGAGCTGCTGAAGGATACAGAATACTGGAAGGAGGAGGAAGAGCAGGAGGGAGTGGAGGAGGGGAGAATGGCGGGCCGGCACCGTCGCTTCACTGGCGACTCCGGAATCGAAGTGTGTGTGTGCAGCCCGGTGCAGGAGAGGGAGGCTCTGCAGGAGCTGGGCGAGTTGCTAGGCGACCACCCGGAGGCGCCCGCGGACTTCTGCGACGACTGCGCCTCCTGTGGCCGCCACGCCTCCTTCAGGGATGAGGGGCAGGGCCAGCCCACAGCTGAGAGGAGGGCGGAGTCCCAGGCACAACCTCCCAGCTGCGTGCTGTTGCATACCATAAGTGAGCAGGAAGGGCCGAACTAGGCTGCCAGCACTGAGCCCCGAAGCTGAGCTGCATTCAGACCACCGAAGCACTGAGGCAGGGTGCTAAGCACTGACTTCCCTCTTACTCCAGCTGCTCTGGTATATTTCTGCGTGATGATTGGAGTCAGGCTGGAGCAGAGCAGGCCACCGGCACCGACGCCCAAAGCAGACGCACCACCAAAGGACTGAGATGGAGAGCTGAGGACTGTCCAGCACTCCGTCGCTAATATTTCAGTGTAATGATTAAAGAGTCAGGCCAGGCCAGAGCAGGCCGCCACTGAGACCCAAAGCTGAGCTGCCAATGCACTACCAAAGGACTGAGAGTGAAAGCTAAGAACTCTCCACTGGTATTCTTCTCTAATGGTTAAAGAGTTTCCTTGTATACCAGACTCTCCAAGCCCAGTAAAGCCTTTAGCAAGCATTCTGTAAGCACTTTTCATGTTAGGCAGTGGTGGCCTGTCACTTCTGGGGGGGGGGGCTGCATTTAAATATGGGGTGAAGGCTTCCCCAGTGCCTGCATGTCTGACAGTACAGATGTAATGATGGCACAATTTTCAATAACAGTTTGGGGGGGGGGCAAATCTCTTATCACTGTTATTTATGGGGAAAACTGCCCTGGCACACTAAAGCTGTTTCAAGCCCCCCCTCCCCCCCAGCAGGTATGCAGTACTAGTGGCTGTCACATGCATATGCACAGTACAAGGTCCCTGCTAACAGTATTGTACAAAGCCAAGTATCACTTAAACATGGTGCACAGCTAAGCTCTAGCAGTAAGAACGCCATATATTATCCTGGATCCTATCCCTCTAGCGTTATACTGTAACTCAGTTATGTATGTAGGCTGACTCATAGGGAAATGAATGTGTATTTAGCAGTGGTGTATGCCTATCGTCATTTTGCACACAGTATATCTATCTACAATGGTCTACATTGTTGAGAAAATTTAAGTAAGTTTCTGCACAAGTTGTCTTAATTCACATCACCAGTCTTGTCTGCAAGTGAAATTGACAAAAAGCTTGATTAAATATTGACAATTTTTTACACAGTGTGATTACATAGTAATTTTTAAAAGTTTCCATTGATAGGGATATCTGTCTGTCAGGTAGAAATTTTGATGTCTGTGACTGACGAGTAAATTCATTCAAGTGGACATCCGGCAAGTACGATTGTCTTCCTGGGGCCTTCGCTGCTGAATGGACAGTTAGCGGTTTCATACCAGGCTGACTCATGTTTTTACGTAAAGGTGAAGGTCCACCGGTATGTCCTACATGTAAAACTCCTTTAACTTTTAAATGCATTTTTTGGTATTGTCCTTCTTTTAACGCCTTTAGTCATATTCACCATATTACTGACTCTTTAAAAGAGGTTTGTAGTAAAGTCAAGCCGGAGGTGTGTGTGTTTTTTTTTTTTTTTTTTTTTAAAAAGATTTTTCTAAAAAGCTAATAAGCACTTTTATATTGTTTTATCTTTCTTAACATTATATAATTAGACTTTCTTTGGTTGTTCAACCATTTTTATTTGCTCTAGTTGCTGGTGTGGCCTTAAAAGGCAACATGACTAACATAACTAAGCTTCGTATGGTAGGTGGGGTGGATATGTCTGAGTTTAATGGAGCTGGATTTTGTCTGTATTGAAAACCAAAGCATTTTCCGGAATCTGAAGGAAGGTAGGGTACTCGACTGTGAATGCTGGGAAAAGGGGCGGTGACCTCTGTTTGCATCTCAGTTAGCGCCCCCCCCCCCCCCTCTCCTGTGCATTTTCTGGATTATTTTCAAGTTTGTCTGGCCTTCTCTCTAGGCCAAGTGGATAAAGACTATTTTAATAGTAATATCTCTGTGCTTTAAAAAGGCCAAGGCTCATCTGCCAAGTAAGCATCCATTTGTGATGTTACGAAGGCGTGGATGAAGTGGAATTAAGTGACAGTACAAATACTCCTGATTATGCACTGTGTGAACCAGACCACTGCCGTCATGCCTACTGTCATCGCTGATGTCTTCACTGTCCTTAAGAGGGTGACAGTTTTTTTCAGTTCCGCTGTAGTCTTACTGAAACTTTTTCCATATGATGTTTTGTATAAAGCATTTATTTGCATTCCTGAGAATATTTTGTTTAATATTTAATATATATATATATATTCAAATAATATATGTATACTGCAAACGCAGTCTGCAGTCTAATTGTTTTTATGCATCTTGTTCCTCAGCATTAACAACCAGTGCAATAAGTGTAACTTTTCAAGGTAAATGTAAAGAGAAATATTCTGGTGTTCCTATTGACGCCTACGTATTACCTGTCACCCATTTAAAAGGGAAGGATAGACATTATTTACAAAAAATAATAAAGTTGACAAAAAGCTTGATTAAATATTGTAATTTTTTTACACAATGTGATTACATAGTAATTTTTTAAATCCGCCGTCTAGAAATGAAAATATAATCATTTTCCTGAAAATGGTGTATTAACAAAGCAAAGACTTTGGAATTTTTTTTTTGCCTTTTTATTTTTAAATAATTTCGGATTACATTTGCCATAACTGCAAATATATACTTTTGATAAGTACTGGAGGTGTGTAGAAAATCTATGTACAGCAAAAGCGCTCGGATACGGAATAATCTATAACATAGAAGTCGACAACTCGGATGTCAACAGCGGCACAAAATTGAACTGTCAAGGCATTATATTTAATATACACCACACTAAACGAATACACAGTTCACACATTTGCTATAATATTGTTTGTCTTACCTATCAGCTAAATTGTATTAAGGCTCCTTGTTTGATACACATGAAATGAGACTTTGGTCAATTGAGAGCAGATTTTTAGGCAGGTGCCATAAAGCTGACAGACTGCTAGAGTAAATCCTAGATTTAAGACACTAATACAGGAAAAGCAGTCCTAAGGTAGACTGCAGCATACATTACTTTCAAAATTATTAAAAACAACAAAATAATAGTAAATACTACTAGTGATGTGATGCAGCTATGTAACTGGCAATTAATGTATGAGTTTCCATTATGTGCTTAGTGAATGCACAGTATATATGAACATTGTGCTGTATATATTCTTTTAATATTTTAATATACAGTCATTTACACAGTTACACTTTAAATATTTTTTGTTTTAATTTTAAAACACGTGTGATAAACCCAAGATCCTATATAAAAAAAAAAAACTGGGTTTGTAAAATGAAGGGGATACTTTGATTCCATTTCACTCATCCTCATCTGTACTGGGCTTCTGTAGAAAAAGTTAGTTTGGGGTTCATTTTTTGACCCAGCCATCTCTGAGTTTGGCATGAACTTTGTACTTCTGAGGCTGCAGGACCACCCCAAATTTCCCCTGCAGGTCAGGCAAGGACTGGTTGGGTGGCACCTCCAGTGTAAAGCGCTGCAGGATCCAGGACAGGAAGAGGAAGAGCTCCATTTTAGCCAGGGCTTCCCCGAGACACACCCGTATCCCAGCCCCGAATGGCAGGAAGCTGGGGGACGGGGAGCACACGGTATTTCCCTCTTCATCCAGAAAGCGGCCTGTGAGAGTGGGATGTGTGAAGGACAACAAACACTCACTGCAGAACAGCAATCAGCTGTTACCATCAACTGTTGGCTTTTGTGAAGAAAGATTGTGAGAAGATTGTATGAAGACCTTACCGGGATCAAAGTGATCGGGGTTTTTCCACTCTTTTTCATCGTGATGCAGGGCCCAGAGATTAATGATGACTCGGGTTCCTTTCTGAACTGTATACTCGCCGATACTGTAACATAAATAACTTTTAATTTTCATACAAGCACAATTTACATTTGCATGGTCAGAAGTAAAAAGCTCTTTAAATATCCTAATTTAACAAACGATGATTAATCATTAAAAGATTTAACTAAACATTCATATTTGTTCAGAGCTATAGAACAATTCCATGTGGCAGAGAAAAGATCTACTGCCCCCCCCAAGTAAAAATGTACCTGGAGTTTGTGAGGGCAACATGAGGTATGAGAAGCGGTGACACCGGCCGAATCCGCAGAACCTCCCTGATGGTGGCTTCCAGGTAAGGCAGTTTACCCCTGTCATTCAGACTGGGGGGTCTCTCCATGCCGATTTGGCAGTCCAGCTCTTCCTGGATCTTTTTCTGGACCTGAGAAACAATGACCAAGAATGCTATCAAAACAATTATCGCATCATCAACGATCTTCTTTATAGGGTTGTTTAAAATAGATTTTAACAAGAAAAGCATTAGGTACACTAGTGGCAAAAACACCTAGCATTTTTGACATTATGCTTTAAAAATTACTACACAATATTGACGGTAATGTTTATAAACTGCGATCAAAGAATGTTTACAAATATACATTGGACAGTTAAATAAGTAACTGGAGCGACAGCTGAATAAAGCTCGCCGATCTCTAAAAATTGGAAGCATTTCCACAATTTTGGTCACTAGTGTACAGGAAAGACTTCTGAAATTATAGTCTAATGAATAAGAAATCTATTTGAAATTGACCAATAATTACATAGCACACACCTGTGGGTTGTGTATCAGGTATGCTATGGACCATTTAAGTACTGTGGTGGTGGTCTCTACTCCAGCCCCAAAGATATCTCCAACAGTCATGAGTAGGTGGTCATCAGTAAGCCCCACTCCCTGGATTAAGGTGTTGTTGTTCTCTGAACTGCTCTTGGCCCGGAGCAGAGCATCCAGCAGGTCTCGTTGAACATCATTGCTGTATTCTGCCTGGAGGTGGAGCCAGAAGAAAGCATAAGCCTTTACACCATCTTTGTGACCACCTCTTCTGAAAATGGTACATTCCGGTGCTTCTGCATGCTATGGCAACATCAGTACAACAAAGTTTTAATTTAAACAAATACCAGCTGATAAGGTTGTTCTATTACCTTGTGCTCCTCATACTTCTTCTGCAGAAGGTTGTCTCTAATGGCTACACTTTGCTTTAGGATTTTGAGATCTTTATTAGGGAATATCTGGAAATGCAAATTAAAAAACTTGACTATAGGACTTAAAATTTAAGGGCTCAAAATCCATATTGTAGTACTTTAATTATCCTTCTCAACCAAGATGCTCCAGAGGAACATACCTGCAGAAACACAAGTGGCACACTGTACAAGCGTAAAAGAAAAGTGAAAAATAGGCAAAACATGTTTCTTGATTGATTTGAATAATTTCTCAATAGTATATAAATTGACAGTTTTACTGGAAAATTTATAACTGTTAACAGGGAAGTGAAACACTGCAAAAAATCTTCATGCAATATGCATCATGGCAAACGACATTTCACTATGACATCTTAAAAAATAGATCGTTACAATTATCATACATTCCAAGCGTCATGTTGATTTAGGAGTCTTGGTACCTGTAGCCAGGGGAAGATGTCCACCAGGCTGTCTTTGGCTACAGTGTCCACTATTCCCTGGCTGTACCTAAGCATGGCTTCAAATTCTGGGTCCCCACGCTCATAGGAGGACGTGAAGCACAGAGAGCAGACCACGTTGGTGACAGCGCGGGTCAGCTCTGGAGCGAGGTCGATAGCGGTGCTCTGCAAGTCCTCCAGCGTCTTGCACATCGAGCTTGCTTCCCTGCAGACTATTGCATGAAAGATAAGACTTATAAGCAACTTTACTCTGGAAACAGTAGGCGTGCTTGCATTAAATATAATCACATATCTCCCTTTCAATTAAAAGCAAAACGCTTCACAATTCTTCCTTGGATTGTATTTATATTAACACAACGGCTTGATAAATTAATAAATGTGTGATTAAAAGAATTCTATATCGTGAAAGTGGTAAGTGAACGCTTACTTATTTTTTCAATTGAAGAAGATCCTTCTCCAAACATGCAGAGCGCACCGTGAACTATTTTTCTGTGAAATTTCCAGGTGGAACTGTAATCGGCAAATGCGATGTCTTTGCCGTCCCTTGTTAAGATATCAGTAGTCACCTTAAAAAAGTCAGATAAAAATCAAGTGGCAAATATAACATTATACAAATGCCGTCGTTTATTAAAGTATGTAATACAAAACAACCTCTTAGGTTTTTTTTTAATGCAACAATTAGTCATGGTGATACATATTATTTAACTCACGGTTCTTGGTCTCCCAGCGAATATTTTTCCTTTCTTAAGAAGTACTTCTTTGGCGTGCTGATGGTCGTTGATGATGATCAGATGATGAGCGCCCATCATAAGTGAATAGACGGCGCCGTACATTTTCTGCAATTCCTGAAAATGTATGTGCGGCGGAAGATGACTGCGTAGACTGAGGAGGCTCCCTATAATAGGAAAACAGGGCAGACTTGGGGGCCTGGTGTCCAAAGGCTTGTGAATTTTTCTTTTAAGGTACAGCAATGCGAGTGCAATTGCAATCATTAACAGGAGACATAGAAGGCATTCCATTTTTGCTGTATTTGTTATATTTTACTTCTGTTTCGCAGTTTCAGATGCTGCTTGGGTTTAGTTCAGTCATTCCAGTCTTCTTGCACAAGCATTCATGCAAGCCAAGGGTTTTATGCGTTTCCTCCAATGCCATTACCTTGACCTGTGTTAGCTTTCTGTTCCTGTCTCTTATGTTAAACAGGTCGATGCCGACCTGTGTATTAAATCAGCCATGCATAGAATACCCCCAAAACAATTATTTATCATCCAATTAGTTTCTTACCTCTTGGTTACCTTGTTAGGTTTCCTTATTAAGATTGGTTTAAATATTTTTGGTGTGACTTTCTGGACCTTTCTTTTGATAGCATACCTCTCGTTTTCATTAAAAAATAATGAATGGTAAAGAGAATTATATAAATAAACTGAATTGGTCTTATCTTGCCTTACATGTCTGGGCATGCCTTGCCTAGTGATTTATTTATTTATTTATTTCGTTTAGAGGTTCCTGATGCAGTACACAAATTTATGTGGTGCTTTTATGCATTTTAAACTTACAAACGGGTCGGTGCCGACCCGAACACCATAGGAAGGTTAAAGCCTGAAGCCAATAGAAACAAAATGATAACGATTGAACAGCTCTTTAAAACGTAGTCAGCAAGTAATAATAAAATAATAATAATAAGCATAAACAAATATTTAGAATACCCTAAGTATACTTTAACCGTTTTAACATTGCTGTATAACAGAATGAAAAATTAGCATATCATAATTCGCTGGATTTAAACAATCCGCACTGTTTGTCACTTACGGGTTGCCGTAGTTTCAATTGTATTACTCGAGTATGATGGCTGCTCCGGAACCGCAGCCGCGTTTTGGTCAATCGGTGAAAGGTTTACTGTCTGAGAAAGTAGGGTCCTGCAGTGGGGATGTCATTACCCTTACTCGACAAGTCCTGAAAGGATCCCGTAGTCAAGAGGTAAAGAAAAAAGAAATAGAGCCCATGTGTTAGTATTTGTGTGCTGTCATGTCGTTTGCGGGCTATGTCGCTTGTGTACATTTGACCTGCGCACTGCGTCATATTGCCGCAGCTAATAAAACGACCAACTACTAACTAGCAGTCTGTTTTATGACAATTTCTTTTATTTTTCAGCTGCTTGGTCAGGCTGCACGTAATATGGTAATGCAGGAAGATGCCATACTTCATTCGGAGGACGTAAGCCTGCCGTATTTCCCTACAGCCTCGTATTTGTTTGCAGAGTAACTTTTGAACGTTGTAATCTATTAAGTCGTGTAGCTTACAATGCATATTTAAGGAGTACATAATAAGCCATGCGTGTATGACAGTAGTGAGGTACAATTGTTTTTTTCCCCTTGTTTTTCGTGGCAGATCTATTCATTGATTATGATTAAGTCCCACAATAAACAATCACGTCTGACCCCTCCTCCCTCCCAGGAAACGTCATATTCAGACCGTAGCATGTGTTTTGTCACTTGCTGTTTTTTTTTTTTTTTTTACATTGCCACCAATAAATAAATATTTTAACTTCCTTCAACCTAACTATTCAACATTTTCAGAGGTATGCAGTCTGTAGCATACATAAGGATGTGCAGTACTAGTATTTTTTGTTTGCTTTTGGTTTGTCTCCAGTTTGGTATCTTCAAACATTGAATGACCTTTGATGCGAAATACATTTTATTCCTATGTAATGTAAACCAAGGATCATTAATATTTCGCCTTTTTGGCAGGAATTCTATTCTGAGATATTTTGCCATATTCAGAGAGTTCAGCAGAGTTCCAGACTTTCAGATTTTATCAGAAAATGCAAAACAGTATGAGCATTATATAGCTTTTTTAGGAACTGTTAACCCTGTGATAAAAGGGGACTGGATCACATTTAAAGTATGTTGCAGATTTCTTAACTCTTGGCAGTGTGCGTCAAATGGTTTTGTTTGATTTTTCTTGTTTCCGCAGAGTTTAAGAAAAATGTCAATTATAACAACACACCTGCAGTATCAGTAAGTGTTTCTGAGTTTTTTTTATTTGTACACAGATATACCGATGCATACTAGGCTGCCATAATTATTGGCTTGTGGTAATTGTAGACTTGTGCTTATTGTGAGTTATAGTGGAACTGCGTTGATTCAGGGTATGTGGTTTGACATAATTTTGTCTCTTATCTACCAGGCAAGAAGCCATACAAAAGAAGTAAGTCAAAATAACGGGTGTTTGACTGTTAATAGATATTTTGCATATGTGACTATAAGACAAAACACTGAACCTCTGTATCTTAAGTACACAGGCGAGGTTAACGTTGTTTATCTTTGTTACAGTGTGGAACACTCTAGAAATCTTCAGGACCAGCTGATGCACTCACTGAAATGAAGATCAAGCTGATTTTAAACTGGATTCAAAGTTTACAGACTTCTGATTTCTGCGAGTCAGGAAAGCTCCTTGTGCAGAGTTTGCCCGGGTCGTGTTTGGCCTTGTAGATTGTACCATGTTTTTGACTCTGCATTACAAACATGATGCTGAGAGATGGAGCCTGTATTTCATTGAAATTCAATTTTTTTAAGTCTCGAAAGGTTTTAAGGAAAGATATCTGTAGCTTATTAAAAGGCATATTTGATCTTGCGTCAGTTTGCCATTTGGTGAAATGTGTTTATGAACTTTCAACTGTCATTGAAGGCAGAGTTTATGTCCCTTATGCACTTGTTTAAATATTAAATAGCCACTTCAAAAATGTATACATATAAAAATAGTTTACAGACATTGTGAAGTGTCCTTTTTCCTTTTCCTTTTCTACAGTTGAGTGGAATCATTTCTGTGTATTAGTCCTTGGTTTATCACTGAATCGAACATCAGTCTTGTACAATCTGAGGACGGTGAAGACAAACACATTAGTAAATTATATACAAAAGTGACCCATCTTAGTTATTAAAAATTCTGAATAACTGTGTAATCCCTGATATTTGTACAAGCTGCCTTAGGATAAAACCGTAAAGTTATTTATATATTGAGTATACAGTAATCTCCTGTGTGTCAAAACATTTAAATAACAGTACTATGAACCCTCTTGTCCCCTGAATATTTTGAATCATGGAAGTACTTCTAGATATGATACACTATAACGAGAATGTGTTATTGGTGAGTTTACCACCAAAAAGTCTGAAGAGAAACTACGGACCTCATTTATGAAAGTCGGGCATGCACAAAAAAAACGCTCTAAATGAGTAGTAAACTTCTTACGCAAAATCTGGGATATATCAAACAAAACTTGACAGGGAAAAAAATTATATATTTAGGCAACAATTAATTATTATCGTGATTTGATTTAGGTGCCTATCGCAGTGTCAGTGCAGTCGATTAACCCGATTACCATAGGAAAGCAAGCAGGCGTCTTTTTGCCTCTACGCAACTCTATTAAATGAGGCCCCAGATTTCGATAATCCTTAAAAGAGTACTGTACATACACAGCTGTAATAATGAAACTCTCAAAATACGAGCATATATATGTTTTATTATTTTTGGAGAGGGTCTCTGAGAGAAGAGCCTATTGATTCGTGCAAGGATGCAATTATTATAATATACTATAATTAGTAGCCGCGATTTCTCCATGGACAATCCACAGCGTACGACTGCCTATAGGCTACACGCATCACTTATTTGAAGTTGTGAAATCTTTACCCAAATAGGACCAGCAACATGGTATATATGAAAACTAATGTCCAAACACCCAATAAAGCATACCTTAATTTCAAACAGCTGTCGGACGCATACTGCTTCCGGTGTATGCGACCTTTACACTGAGGGAAAAGGGGCAATGATGGAGTACGAACGGAGGTAATCAGGAACGTATTCATAACACTAATGTAAAATGACTGCAGCCGCTACATTAATGCAGCTTTTCTGAAGCTGTAGCTTAAAGATTATATCTTGAGATTTAAAAAACATATATGTGCATGACTAACATGTTTTCTAAATTCCTAAAGCTCTGCATTGAACATAGTTCTTGCGGTCCACTGTTGCGCTCCAGTACTTTAGATGATGACAGGACTTGTAGTGCGAGTCTTTTGAATTTGGAACTGATTGATTGATACAAACTGGCTCGCGCAATGTTTAATGTCAGCAGAGCTGTCAATCTTTGCTCATGTGAATTACCGCTTATATATGCACCATATATATTATGCACTCTGTATAAATCATCACTTTTCGTCGTGATCAACTTTGTCTGTTCCAAAGTAACAGGAAAACCTGTAATTTAGAATAATTTTATTCTGTTCCTTTGGCGTTTCAAATGCATTGTTACTTTATAGTTATACTTTATAGTACACTTGGCGAAACTTATCGCGTATTATCTGAATGCAATTTTACCATTTTCAGCCAGCCTGCAAAGGGTTATTCGGATGAATCGACGGTCCATGAAGATGTAAAGGTATAATTTCAGATTTCGTATGACATATGTCTGAGTTTTCTCTTTTGTGAAAATTAAAGATGAAAATTCTAAATGAAAATGCTTATTAGGCCTGTTAAATGTGTTGCCATGAGTACAGTAGTTACTTTTTTACTTAAAAGACACAAGTAAATGATGATTGTATTATTTATTAAGCATAATCACTCCTCTCGTAGGAATACTATGGTAAACTACTGACGAAAACTGCAGACCTTAAGAGCAATGCGTGCATGACCGTGGCTAAACCAGTGACGTCGGATATCCGTAAAGCTTTGGAAGAGGTGCACCCAGATGTGAGTGACAGGTATGCTGTCCAATCATCACTCAGATATGTATACAGAGTTATCTGTCCAAAAATGTTATTGGATTGTGGGGGGAGACTAGAGAACCTACAGGAAACCCCGCGAGGACATGGGGGGAACAAGCAAACTCCACACACAGAGAACCGAGGCGGAGACTCGAACCCTTTTAATAAATATCTAACTATCATACTTGTTCCCCATTGCAGGCCTTCAAAATATGTAAAATATTTAAAGTCAGAAAGGAAGGTATTAAAACATAGAAGTCGTTACATTTTCTTACTCACTTCATTTTAATTACTGCTGTCATTGACAAAGTGTAAATGATCAGATTAATATTTATTGTCACCGAATGTGTTTTTTATTTATTTATTTTTATTAAGGCTAACCAGTGCCTGCAGGGGTGCTGCTAGTGATTTTGTTGGACCGAAGACCTATCACCCAGCATGGGCTCCCAACCCAGAGCAGTCCAATTATGTTCTAAATTTTTGGTGGCCCTTGGAATCATCCAACCTTTCCCCCATTTATGGCACCCCCGAAGGTCATACCAGTGCCCTTAAAACTCTTCATAGCCTTTTGAAAACCCTCCTGAACAAGCAGGCCCTCAAAAACAAATTATTGCCTGATCGGGTGATGTGATGCTTTGATGGGTGTCTGTTTGGTGCACAACTTTTTTTTGTCTCCATTTCCTCTCTCAAGGTACTATGGGTGCGGGCTGGCTGTCCCAGAATCCCTCCAAGGCTGCCGGGTGTTGGATCTGGGCTGTGGTAGCGGACAGGATTGCTACATGCTGAGCAGGCTGGTGGGAGAGAGGGGCTTTGTCACAGGCATTGACATGACCAATGAGCAGGTATGGAGAGGGACAAGAGGCAGCGACTCTCACCCTCCCTCAGGAGGAACACAGCGGCAAGCGTTTACATAGATAAGATACATTTACCGATGATTAAAAAAAATTATGATAAAAATAATTTACACTTCATAACTGACATGTTTTATTAGGTTTTTAATGTATTTTCAGCTCAATAGTGACATGTTTTATTGATTATAATCGTGTACTTAGCTCAATAAAAATAGTTTCACTGACGTTTACTAGATTAATAATGTAGGCCTACATTTAGCTAGATAGCGACATGTTTTATTGATTATATCCATTTATTTAGCTCCATAGAGACATGTTTTATTCATTATTACTCTATCTTTAGCTTGGTAACATCAGGTTTTCCTAAACATCATGATTTTAACAATTATTACCGTGATATATCGATAACATTAGGGATTTTGCTGTACATGTGATATGCAATATGCATTTAATTGCCGACCTATTTATATTATACATAATCTAAATTTTCAGGCACAGACTGAAGCTGTTGCTAAAAATATTACAGTGCTGATCAGTTATATATGGAGAATTATTGCGTTATAAAGTTATAAGTTAGTAAGAAGGGTACGCACAGATACACTCTGCACAGCAACCATAGCAGCAAACAATATTATATAACTTACTGCCTACTGAAGCATTACAGCTGTTGTTACAGCTATGCTACGCTATGGCGGTATATGAAGTATTCATATCGAATGGGAAATTACATTAAATTAAATTGAATTTAAACACCTTCAGTTTGTTCTTCACACTAACACTTGTGTCTGCTGTACATCTTTTTTATAGTTACAAGTGGCTAGAAAATACATTGATTACCACGCACAGAGGTTTGGTTATAGAAAGCCGAACACAGAATTTGTCCAAGGATACATTGAGGACTTAGAGGATGCAGGACTGAAGAAAGGCTTCTATGATATTATAATGTGAGACAAATTTCTTATATTTAATGTGTACTTTATATTTGAACATTTAATTATCGTTGATGGGAATGTGATTCTTTTTGCCAGATGTTTTTCTAGCATATTATCGGCAAACTCCAGAAGAGATGCTGAGTTTATCAGTAATTTCTTGTCACAATTGTAACTTTAACGAAGAAATGTGTCAGAATATCTTCAGTTAGCTTTATTGCCTTCAAGGACAGGTGTTTCAAAATCTCCATTCATTCTGACTAAACAGCCAAGTTATGCTTGTCGTTAAAGTTAATGAATTGTATCTGATATGCAATTTTATTGACAATATTGTTTCATCTGTTTGATATAGATCAAATTGTGTAGTGAATTTGTCTCCAGACAAGACCAGCGTACTGAAACAAGCTCACCGCGTTTTAAAGGTACAGTGTCTTGAAAAAAATTCACAGTATAATATTAATGTGAGATGAGTATGGAAAGAGTAACAGATCTGATCATCTGTGATTTTTAGTGGGTGGACGGAACAGTTTAATAAGTTTGACAATGATGTGTATGAATGTTGAGGACTTTTACTTTCAGGATGGACGGGAGTTGTATTTTAGTGATGAATGTTCAGGACTTTTACTTTCAGGATAGCGGGGAGTTGTATTTTAGTGATGAATGTTCAGGACTTTTACTTTCAGGATAGCGGGGAGTTGTATTTCAGTGATGAATGTTCAGGACTTTTACTTTCAGGATGGTGGGGAGTTGTATTTCAGTGATGAATGTTCAGGACTTTTACTTTNGGGGAGTTGTATTTCAGTGATGAATGTTCAGGACTTTTACTTTCAGGATGGCGGGGAGTTGTATTTCAGTGATATCTACTGCAACAAGGACCTTCCAGCAGAGATCAGGACTCACAAAGTCTTGTGGGGTATGAGCAACCGAATGTTCACTTGGAGTGAATATTGAAGTAATTCAATGTATTGCCTAGAGCGAGCAGTCATCTGCCCCTCGTTGTCAGCTTACGTCTTGATATGAGATATTTGAAGGGTATGAGCACATTTTTCCCACACATTTGAGTTTCAGGCGGTTGGGAATCTTGGAAAGTGGAGGTTGAGGTGCCCTTGCGGAGCGCACACATCTGACGCGAACGATAGATGATATAAGAAAGGTATGTGGCTTTCTAGGCGAGTGCCTCGCGGGGGCGCTGTTTTGGGAGGACCTGATGCGGCTGGCTGGAGAAGTGGGCTTCAGCACCCCCCGGCTGGTGACCGCCACCGCCGTCACCGTGGGCAACGAGGAGCTAGAGAACCTTCTGGGTGAACGAGACCCTCTGCATTCAGGATGCTTTTATGTACAATACCAGTCAAAAGTTTAGACATGCCAATCCACCCATAAAGGAGAGTGGTAGAATGTCGCATCCCATGACCTGGCCACCTGACCTAAACATTGTAGAAATGGTTTTGGAGGAGATTGACAAGGGAATGAAGGAATAGCAGCCAATTAAGCTCAGGATATATATGGGACCCCAGAAGGAGCATCCTGTGAGGGACCAAACCGTAAGGCAACACAAACACAGGAGCTTGACTAAAGAAATAGGGCTTTATTGACCCCCAAAATACAGACAGTGACAAAACTCAAGACCTTAATAACAGGGCCCATAAAAGAGGTTAAAAAAAAAACAACAAAACTTAATATCACAAAGCAAGGTATTAACTGAAACAAACTGACCTTCCTATAAGGAGACATGAGGGAACATATATAGTGGTTTGGCCAAACCAATTAACACACAAAAGGGGTAAACCAAATTAACACTACATATAACTAAACAAAGCAAAACACAGCTAAACCCCAACTCCCCCCTCTTGCCATGGCAGAACATGGTTCAATCCTGCTCCAGGGGTTGTCCCTTTAAGAGTCCTCTGCCCTCAGCCACACCTTTATACCGACTAGGAAAAGACCATCCCCCACAACCAAAGTAACTGCAAAATCAAAGGATTAATTAGGCAAACACTGCACATAACCCTAGAATATCAAAATATGAACACTGCACATAACCCTAGAATATCAAAATATGAACACTGCACATAAAACATGAGGTAAAGCGCATCAACTGAACACTATGCATTGTTATTGTAAATAAAGCATTTTGATTAAAGAAAATGTACGAATAATCAACTAAGGATGTGAGAGAATGTTTAAGGTCTTACTGTGTGGCTGTAGCCATCACAATCCCAAGATGCCACCTCATGAAACTGGCATGAAGAAGACAGTAGGCTCAGCCAGTCCCTGGAGCAGTTCAAGGGCCCAATGGTGGAATCACTCTGCCAATTCAGGGATTTGAACCATCAACCTTCTAAGTTCTAACCCATTGAGCTGCCCCTCGCAACCAAAGAATTGATTTTTTTTGTTCAATGCTTTTTTTGGTCAGTGCATAATTCCATATATGTTATTTTATAATTTTGATGTATTTATAATTATTCTAAAATGTAGAGAACAGTACAATAAAATAAACCTTTCTATGGGTAGCTGTGTCCAAACTTCTGACTGGTGCTAGTTTTTAGAAGGTGTGACAGCTTTCTGTGAAATGGGAGCTGTAGTAACATGTAATATTCACGCCCTGTCTACTTCAGATGTTGTAAAGTCTTTGGGATTAAATGGTCATTATTTCCCTTTTAAGATAAACATTCTAAAATAGATTTAGTTAATTATTTTGAGTTTGGATTGGTTTACCAGTAAAATGACTAATAATGTTTAATAAGTGAAATGCACTCACTATGCACACTATATATTGAGGCTTATTTTGATTTATTGATCCTATTCAAGCATTCTCCCTTTACATATACAGCTCTGGAAAAAATTGAAGAGACCACTATATTTCTTTAAAAATCTGAATTTCTAAAATCCTGGTTTAATCCTGGTTCTGCTGGCAGAGGCTACGCTGAGAGGCAGGCTGCTCTCAGGCTGAAAGTCTCTAAGACAGCAGGACACAAGAACAATGTGGAGCAGGAGACACTGGAGGCACCAGCCAGGTAAAGGGCAGAAGTGACTTTCTAATGCCAGCGATGACCATCAGCTTATCCAACAGTGCCTCATAAATTGGAGGATGACATCAAGTGACCTTCAAAAAGAATGGGAAGCATTTAAGTGTAGGTGTGAAGTGCACTGCAAGGACAGTTTGTATGAGGCTTCTAGAAGCAGGCCTGAAATCTCTTAAAACAAGGAAGAAGCCCTTCATTGAGATAGATATATATATAGATATATAAAAAAAATTCACAGATGCAAACCCATAGATTGAGAAATAAGTGCTGTGGTCTCTTAATTCTTCCCAGAGCTGTATGTTCTGGGATATCTGAGAAAAGTTTCATGCATAAAATGAAATTAACTGGTTTTCTTATTGTGAAACCAATCTATATTTAAAACCGAATCCAAAGTTTTGAGGCTGCACGGTGTATTATCGTGCGGTGTATTAGTTTCACAGATAGTAAAATGAAATTATGGAATATGCATTCCCCTTATTGAAGTTCCTGGTTTTTGATTACTCTGGTCTTCTTTTATCAATGTAGGCGAATACAAGTTTGTCTCTGCAACGTATCGCCTCTTCAAAATCCCGAGAGGTGCTCCAAACACAGGGTGTCTCGTCATATACAACGGGAACATCACTGGTTTTGAGGATTGCCTGAATTTTGACGCCTACCATACATTTAAGGTTTGAGTTTTCACTAGCTTGTTCTAGTATTATTTGGTATTTATGTGAACAAAGGAATCAAATTAAATGCTTATGTTAAAGGACCTTCACAGGAGAACAGTGTCCAGTATAAACCTCCTGTATATCGTACAGGTGAATGCAGTGGTTCCCGTTGATGGAGAGCTGGCCAGCATCCTGAGGAGATCTAGGTTTGCTGAAGAGTTTAGCTTCCAGCCTTGCCTGGCAGATCAGCCTAGCTCTTCATGCGTGGGCCCAAAGGTTGGTGCTGGTGAAAGATGTACTTGTAATGTCCTTGAAGGGCTTTTATGTGGTAAGCATCCAGAGTATTACCAGAACCTCTAACAGCGTACTGTTCCTATGCAACATAAAGGGAGGTCACACCGATAATGAATCTACTAAGACTCATTCTTGATGTTATGGTTGCGGAGCTCACCAAAGAGGGATCTTTGAACTCTGTTTCAGTGGCATCTTCGAAATTTTTCACGAATCAAACGGGTTTTCAGAAAAGTATCCTTTGTGCAAAATATTCAAGGCCGTGGACAGTTAGATAGCGTTACCTCAGATTAAGCTGGAGTTCGGAGTTTAAGTTCCCAGACAGACTCACAAGCTGGGATTGGCTGATCGTCTCCAAGACAACCTGGCATAATGAAAATGCAGCTTTGCAATCCAGCACTTGCTTCCCCATCTCTTGAGCTAAATCTAAGGTGAAAGATAGAGGTGGAGCATCTTCTTTTTTTGAGGGCGAGGGGACAGCGAAACAGGGGTATGTTTCACAAAATCACAATTGCGAAAGCAACGATAGCAACTTTCATAGTTGGAGCTATGCGACTGAGTGGTTCCAACTATATAAGTTGCTAATGGGACCTGTACCCCAGGATACTTCCCTGAAATAAAGTAAATAGGCATGTGGCGATGCTGTTTCTGCTTAAATGGTGACACGCATCAGTCTATTTTCTCCCTGCTGAAACCAGACCAGCAGGATAATGATCCACAACAGCCCACGAGACGTTCACCGTGTAAAATTAATACATCCAATCATATCTGCATCAGTTAATGCATACTTTATAATATCTGAATATTTCATACCGTTATATATGATATTGCATTCATTAATATATACACATGTACATGCATGCAAGATATATCTGTTGTGAGAGTTTTTACTTTTCAAATTTTTGCCTGAGGAGGTCATGAATTATTTCTGCAGTGAAAACCCAACTCCTGACATTTTTTATATATATGTATATACTGTATAACGAGCAGTGGCCTCCCACCGAGCAGCACCACCGGATGAAGAGGCAAGGTCAAGCAGCTGTCTAGCCTAGACGTATAAAGAGGCCGGCAGATTGGGAACCTTGAATAAAAGGAGAAAATGTTCTCCGTTCAGACACTGGAATGCTGACTTATCAGTTTCCATGGCCTTTGGAAGCAGTACAATCAGAAATGAGATATGCCTGCAAGATACAGCCCTGTTTAATGCATTTAACTATAAACTAGTGTAGATTGGTGAAAGTACACTGTCGAAGCGCTTTCTATGAACAGTGTAAGTGTCCTGCAGTGTGGGTAGCAGCTCTTGCTGTTTATTTATTTGCACAGTGGACAGTTCATCAAAATGACTTGTATGAATTATGATTTTTATCTTCTATAGCAGTGTTCCCCGACCCGGTCCTCGGGAATCCACAGACGGGCCGCATTTTGCACGTTCCGACCGTCTCTGGGTCCCTGAAGATCAGGTTTGGAAACATTGTTTTGTAGTTTATTTAAAACCATCGTCCTCAGTAGTGCAGTTCCTCAGAGTACAATATTATAAATATGAGTCTGTGTGTGTGTGTGTGTGTGTGTGTTGTTCTGTAGAACTTACAGCTTGTTCTCTTAGCTTTGAGCACTGGAGGGACCCAGCTTGGTCGGTCTAGCTGACATGCATCTCCCTCTTGTGGACAAACCATGAAGTGCTTCAACATTTGTTTTGATGTGCAGCGATTTTTAATTTTGACGCAACCAGATAAAAAAGAAATGCTTATTTATTTGTATTTGTCTATCAAACTGTGCATTTGTAGACTCCTTCTTTAACAGCATCGGCCTACATTCTGGCATCGAACCGCAACATCCTTAATCTAGGCTCTACCTCCACTATACGTCTGTAAGACCCCCTCTCGTCCCAGTTTATCCTCCTGTTTTGTATTCCTGTTATGGTTTCTCCTGAGTACGCTAAGCTGGCAGGCTGGCACCCCCCCCATTTGTACCCCCGTCCATAAGCAGCAAGCCCGCTCACACAGCCTGTACCACTGGTCAGACACTTGTCCTTATTGGTACACTGGCATGTCTCGCCGTGCGCCCTGCACTTGGCATCGGGCTGCCCGACTCCCGTGCACAGCTCTGATTTGTCTTTTGTGAGTTCTCATGTGCCTAATGTGACTAATTGTCCCAGATTTGCCAGCAGACCATAAATGGACATTTTTCCATGGTGATACGTGGCCCTGTATCAGTCTGGCCCTTCCCTGGGAAATAGGGATTTCAGACATACCAACAGGAAATGTATCAGGTTTAAAACTTGACTAATGAGTATTTAAAATATATTTTTCAATTTACTTGTCAACTCGGGAAATTCTGTAATTTAATATATAAGTTTTCATTCAGTAACTAGTTTTTTTTTCACAGCCCGTCAGTTAAGATACAAAATATGATGTTAAAACAAAATTGTCATTTATCTCAGACAGTGACCTGGAACCCTTTCGAGGTTGAGAATCTGGAGGCTTCTAGGCCGTGCTGTGGAGTCCCGAAATCCTGCTGCAAGTGAGGATATCAGACATCGCCGGCCACAGTGGAGGATGGTCCTGCCCATGGTGTTAATTTTAATCCTGTGATCAGTTTCGGCTCTGTGGAACAGTCTTTGAATACACCCCGTGGCCGCTTAATTAGATACATCTACCCGTTAATGCTAACAGCCTGCTTGAGTAAACAGCCAATCAGGAGCCTGCAACTGAATACATATGGCACAGAGGCGGGGTCATGTGGTTCAACTGAGCATTAGAATGACTAAGACCAGGGGTGCTTGAATGCATGGCCTCACCTGGCCAGGGGCCTCTGCTACAAAGGGGCCTCTATTAACATTGCTGCCCCACAACACACCCCAGGGTTGAGAACTACACCAATATAGTAGACTAAAATAGTATGGGGGGGGGGGGGGCTGACCTTGTCACTGTGCCTCTGGCTAAGACGCCTGATCTAAGAGATTTTAAATGATTTTTTTGGTGCCACCTATGGTCGTCCTAGTCACCCTTCTGGCTTTAATGCCTAGAATTTACAAGGATTAGTATGATGAACGAAAACATCCTGTCAGCAGCAGCCTCTGTTGTTGAAAGCGCCTAGTTAATGAGAGAGGTCATGGGACAATGGCCAGACTAACAGGAAGGTAACAATTGTAAAAATAACAGCTCAGTACGGCAGTGGTGTGCAGAAAGGCATCTCTGAACTCGTCAACCCTTGAAGTGGTTCTAGAAATGGAAAGGGGACCTTACCTGGTGCTATGTAGGTGTACCTAATAAAATGGCTACTAAGTGTAAATGATCATTTTTATTATGAGTGATTAATTTGTAACTGTGTTAAAATCAAACTCTTTTGATTTTTCTGTTTGATTTTTGAAATATTTTAACCAAAATAGTTTTTAAAGATGAATAAAAAGACAAATATAGATAAATGCACATAAGGTTGTTCATGCAAACTGACAAATGATTCATTTTAAAAATTAATTGTGCAGTGTGAGTTATACGCAGGCAAGCCAAATTCTAATTTGAAATTTCAAATGTTTGCCTGTTAGCATGTCTGTATAATGTCAGTTATTACATTTTTAAAAATTAGAAAACGTTTCATATTATTTTTATATAGAACGAGCAGACACATCCATTGTGATGATTGTGATATGTGCCGGAGGAGGTTAAGTTATGGGGGCCGAAGCCTGAACTCTAGATGAAGCACCCCTTGGTGAACAGGCGTCTGGAGCGAGGCCAGGCAGAGTACAATCCAACAAAGACCCCCATGAAAGGTACCAAGAAAAGCCAAGTACGCTGCCAGCAAAAGGGATACTGGGACCCACCCCTTTGAACCAAACCTGTGGCTGGTGTTTGCTGGCCAAGCTCAGAAATGGCTACGTGGAGCTTTGGGAACTCACCAGCCACAGGGACGCAGATGCATCAAACAGTGGCAGTGGACTTTAATGTCTTTAACATGGAACATTCTCTCACTGGTGGGGAAAGACCCTGAGCTGGTGCAGAAGATAGGAAGGTATTAGTTTGATATAATGGGCCTTAAACCCATGCATAGGATCTATGTGGGTTTTATAACCAAACTTCTTAATCGAGGGTGATATCTCTCTTACTCTGGAGTTTCCTTTCTTGAAAGACCAAGTCTGAGGGCTATGCAGTTGTGAAACACTGTAAAGATTGTACCTGGTTTTTATGTAAATGCACTGAACAGAAGTTAGCATTACCTAGCCTACTTAATGTGGTTTAGATGTCTGTAAAGGAATGCATGAATGGGTGGCAGCTCATGGGAGTTATACCTTCACAAAAATGTTCTGAGGGCAGAACGAAAAATGAATAGTTCAGAGAGATAACCAATCAGATTGTACAAGAGGTGGATCCAAGCAACTAGAGGAGGTGGGATCAACCAATCAGATGTCTTCTTGTTTCCTTCTGGGCTCATGCATGTTCACTATGACAGAACAGTCATGCCCATAGCAACCATTGAGGATACCGAGGTCAATTATATCCGAGTCACGTGTGATTGTCAAAATTAGGCATTTGTGTAACTGACATTTTCCATTATTTCTGTGATGTGGGGCTCAACTTGACCCAAATAGTAGCTGTAGCGTTAAAATAAATCTGATATATGCTGATCCAACTGCTGCTTAAATGACATATTCTGCAAATCCATATCTTTGATAATTACACATAGAAGGACACTGTCAAGGTATGATCATTTGTACCAGCGGTGCCGCTTTTTCAACGGGTGCGATACGCCGCACCAGGTACGCCCAGTCTTCTGTCGTGTGTGACGCTGCATTAGTGTGTCGGGGATGATCGATTCAGGCCAACCAATCAGGGCTCTTCCAGCCAGGAGGAGGGAACATTGACTTGTCTTTCTGACATTTGCCCTACACTTCACTCCCCAGTGTTATGGTCCACTGTGACTGACTGTGGGGGGTAATGTACTGTAAGTGTAATGTTTCCAAGGAATAAAACTTATGACGTTTTCAATTAGTCAAATGTATTACAAAACTGCAACAATTCATTTCGAAAATCTTGTGGCCCAGTGGGCTAAGCTTCTGTGCCTGTTAGCGGAAGGTCGCCGGTTTGAGGCCAGCCTCGGCACGTCTGTGGGTGTTTGAGCAAGACCCTTCACCCCAAGCTCCCTGGGCGCTGCTATGGGTGGCTGCCCTTCACAGCCAGCTTGCTCTTATCTACAGAATTTCCCCACTGGGATCAATAAGAAGTATTGGTTGTAATTAATCAAAAACTGCAATGGTTAAATGGCAAAGCTTCCAGTTAATGATTGATAATTTCCTCTATATATATTTGTGATCTATTCGGATTTGGCCAAAAAATAAACCAAAATCAAACAAGCTCAGGGGTAATTCAGCAAAATATTACATTACGCTAAACCAGTTATACCCAATTGACAAATATTTTTACCAAATGGTACCTTATTTTGAACCTTTAAAAGCAATAAAAACGTATGTCAAGGGTAACGTCTGATTCCCAAGCTCCTATATGCAAGCGCGTACAGTATAATAGTGCTTTATGACGTACTCAGAACAGGTTCTGTCTCCTAACGCTGGACTCAGCTAAACAGTCAGTGATACATCCTGTCGCCCACAGCTCCCTTATGTTGACTCCAAGTAAATCTCACCACTTGTCAGCACTTTGCTTCACCCGCTGGGTGTTTGCCTATTAGCAAACTAACTTATCATGAGAGTTTTGCTAAAATATTCTGGGGGATTCAATCATTTGCCTGTACTTTTAAAAATAAGGCTGTGATTGCAGTTATTTGCTGTTTCAACTGATTTCAAAATTCCAAAACAATAGTTTTAAACTATCCTTGTGTTTCTAAAAGCTGAATCTACGAAGAGGTTAGGAAATTGCGGGCAAATACTTGTTAATTTTACAGAAAACCCTGATTTTTTAAATGAAATTTCTAACTTAGTCAATTAAAAAGAAATGGTCTTGGGCACATTTACAGACGTGCCTGCGTATATAGTGACGTAACAAAATTCGTGTTACTTTATATATATATATATATAAATATCACATTTTAAATGCTAACCCCTAAGTTGTCTCCATGCTTTCAGCTAATGTACGGCGAGCTGCTTTTACTAGTTGTTTTCTGAAGAGAACTTGGAGGAACCTGGTAAAAATGGTTATAAGATTTGACACTATATATTGAGACGAAGCGGAGCATATTTGCGAAAGGGAAACTGGAACTTTGTTGCAGTTACTGAAGCTGCATGGTACTCTGTCCAGTAGTAGCTTTTAGTTTATTTTACATTTTTAATCACCGTTAAACGCATGCTGCGAATGACTAATTAGATAAAACACAGCAAGTGAAACCAGCATTGATTTAACACAATTCCCCACCAACCACGGCGCTCAATGCAGCCTAACTAAAATGTTAACGGAACACCCCCTTAATAGTAGGAACTTATTAACGACGAGATATCACCGTTAAAATAAATGTATATCGAAGAAAGGTATAAGCAATCGAGAGAGGAAAAACAACCTTTGTAAAATTTAGCACTAAAAAAAAACGACGCATCGGTGACGAAACCAAGCAACAACAACAACAAGTATTTAAAATATGCATGTGCGGTCCTTCTGTTTATTTAAGCCACTGCAACTGCCATAAATGCTCTTATATTTTCTATATCTTTAAAAAAGGTACCAAGAATTTTCTTCTTTCCCAGACCATTACATTTTTTTAAGATGGTCAATTCCCATCTCTTAGCTGAATGCCCAGAACCGATCAAAACAAGTCACGAGGTAAATTCAGCTTTTGGGTTCTGCAGAGCGTTCCGCTTCTTCAGGTTTTCATTCGCTATATGGCTTGCAAATATCCCGCCTTCTTCCCTGTCTTCCTCCCGATTGGCTGGCAGAGCTGCCAATCTGAGGGACAACACCAGAAGCACGAGTTCATACAAAGCTCGCGCTGGTTAGTGATCAGTATTAGGCGCGTAGTGTAAGTAAGCAGGTCCGATGCGCTAGTCAAGGCAACCCACAGCAGAGATGAAGGCGGACTCTTATTGGCTCTGATTTTTAAAGCCCTTTTCATTCAAAAGAGGTTGCCCATTAACAACATGGCAGAGCTGTCGGCCACGGTACCCACTGCAAAAATGGCGGCACTTAGCCGGGTCCGAGCCCTGACTCTGGTTTTCTTAACTGTCAGCGCTTGTTTGGTGAGCTCGACAAGTGGAAAGGACGGGGAGGATGAGACGGTTATTATAGGTCTTAGACTGGAGGACACGGATGACATTTCCTTTATGGACAGGGGATATTTGCGGGTTAGTGAAAGGTCTCGTGTCAAGTTGAGGGTCTATGGGCAAAACATTAACAACGAGACTTGGTCCAAAATTGCGTTCACAGAGCACGAACGTACCAAAGTCATTGGCAACATTGACAGCTCTTCTGGTGACAACAACAGCCAAGAGGACACGTCCAGCTTCCTTCCCTGCGGCATTAGAACCTCGGATATTATAATCCTGCCCAACATAGTCCTAAATAGAAAAACATCGGGGATAATTGAACTCGAAGTCAAGCCTCTGCGAAAAACAGAAAGAAGTAAAGCGTACTTCTTGTGCATTGCCACTTCAGCGCCTGCTGCAGCGGGCTTGCACGACCCATGGAGCGAGAATACTTGGGTCTATCACGATGGTGATGATACTAAAGTTATAGTGGTGGAAGAGAAAAAGTTTTTGCTTCCCTTCTGGCTACAAGTCATCTTTATCTCCATGCTCCTGTGTCTGTCGGGCATGTTTAGCGGGTTGAATTTGGGGTTGATGGCGCTGGATCCCATGGAACTGCAGATAGTTCAGAACTGTGGCACGGAAAAGGAGAAGAGCTATGCGAAAAAAATCGAGCCCGTACGAAGTCAGGGGAATTACCTACTTTGCTCGCTTCTCTTAGGAAACGTCTTGGTCAATACTACTTTAACTATTCTGCTCGATGACATTGCAGGATCTGGATTGATCGCGGTCGTAATGTCAACCATTGGAATAGTCATATTCGGGGAAATCGTGCCTCAGGCTATATGCTCGAGACACGGTCTTGCAGTGGGTGCAAATACCATATTCTTGACCAAATTCTTCATGCTGCTTACCTTCCCAGCTTCCTATCCCGTAAGCAAACTTTTAGATTATCTTCTGGGCCAGGAGATCGGAACCGTATATAACAGAGAGAAACTCCTGGAGATGTTAAGAGTTACAGATCCGTATAACGATTTAGTTAAAGAGGAGCTGAACATCATTCAGGGAGCTTTGGAGCTCAGGACTAAGACCGTGGAAGATGTGATGACACCCTTGAGAGATTGCTTTATGATTGCGGGGGATGCTATACTCGACTTTAACATGATGTCAGAAATTATGGAGAGTGGGTACACTCGCATCCCCGTGTTTGAAGGGGACAGGTCTAACATCGTGGACATACTCTTCGTCAAAGACCTGGCGTTTGTGGATCCGGATGACAGTACTCCCCTGAAAACGATCACCAAGTTTTATAGCCACCCTTTGCATTTCGTCTTCAATGACACCAAACTGGATGCCATGCTGGAGGAGTTTAAGAAAGGTGAGCTAATCCGCGTCTCTTTTCGCCATAGCGGCTTTCAGTTTCCCGTTAATTAGTATTACTGGATTGTCCTAGTTTTTTTTTTTGAAGATCAACCGGTGGATAAAGAGCTATGCTGCCTTCTTTAAAAGAGAAACTTACTGAAAGTTTTTATTTATTGATTTTTTTGCAAACAACAACTAACGTAGTTTTGCATTGACAGGCGATAAAGAGGTCATCGTACAGCCTGTGGCGGCACTGGCCAGTTTTAAACGCCTTTCTGCGTTATTTCCATTAAATTTGTATAAAATGCCCGGGGAGAGACGGAGCGGTCCTATTCATACATGTGTGACAAACGTGCTGGCGGACACAACGTGCGGAGCAAACCTAAAATCCACGCTGATCATGAGCGTGCATTACTCACTAAATTACAATAATAACATAAAATAACACATTTTTGTTTTATCACTAACTATGGGAGAAGCAACGGTGTCCGTGTAATGTTATGCGGACTGGCAACTGCGACATTTTCCCGTCAACCTGGACGCAACCATAACGACATTTGTTCTTTAATTTCTTTAAGTTCCCCCCCTACACACGCGGCCTGGTAACATGTCTGTCTGCAGCATTTTGAAAACTGGAATATAAGGTGTTATGATTTAAGTTTATCTTTTAACTATTCTTTGGTGTACAGGGCTAAATATTGTTACAAACATGATTTGAGGTGAATGCGTGGTGCTTTAAGAAAGGCTTTCGTGATGTAAACTATGCAAAGGGAAACGGTGATTCATCTGGAATAAACCCCAGTAGACCCCAAGAAGCAGTTGCTGATAATGATTTGTTGTTCACTAAAATCTGGGCAGATTCTCATACTACAACAAGCAGTTAAGCATCCATTAGTGGTACGCAAGTTTATTTACAGTGATTCAATATGCATCAACACACAAAGTTACTGGTTGTTATCAGATCACACCTTTTTTATTATCTGTAAATGTACAATACAATGTTTTCAGAATTCCGCTGCGTTGTCACTTTTCAGATGGATGCGACTTTTTTGTTTTTCACTGTCATATTTTTATGGCTTATTGTGAAATTAAATTAAGCTTAATTTGTAACTACTAAATGGCCTTTTAATATCTGCTTTTGGTGTAAAAGACGTTTTTCTGACATTAACCAGCTGTCATTGAGAAGCCCTCTCTGAACAAAGGGTAGGTGCTGAGTGGACCTACCCGCACTTCCAACCAATCATTTACTTCAGCCTGGCTGTTATCTCCTGCGATCTCAGCCCTTTAATGTGAACGTTTACAGGGTTCTCGCTCCTCCCGCTTGTTTCTGAATGCATTAGGACGTGTGGGAATGAGGAGGCACATGGGTTATCAGCTCCGGGCATCTCGTTTGTGGAGCTGCTTAATCGCGCCCCTGTTTTCTGCTTGTGTCCGTGTGATGGTGCAGATAATTACCCCTCCGCCGGTATGCCGCTTTTTGGATAATAAGTAACAGCTCTAACCACCAACATCAGTGGGTTTATAACACACTTACCCAGCCCATGTTAAGAAGTGATATTGCTGTCAGAGGGAATTTATTTATTTCTCACTTAGTGTGTTTTGTTTCCATTTAGGCGTTTTTTTATTTTGTTTTTTTGTCTGAATTCAGGGCCATTTCTGCTGTCAGCAACAGATCAGCGTCTCCTCTGTGATGCACTGCACTGTGGCCTGTAATTTTGAGGATCTCTTTGCTGATCTTTTTAATAATCTGTGTCCCGCCCTCAGATATAGCTTCCGCGCTCAGTTGCGGCGAGATCCCAGCGTGGCCCTGTTTTATCTGCTCTACCAGAAAGGGCCCATGGATAGGAATAAAGGCGGGGCTGCAGGCCACACCCACCCTCTGCTCTACTAGCTGATGTAAACAGTAAACATGGCATGGCTCATTATCACCCCGCCCCCAACTAGGTCTCCATTTTGACATTGCCATGTAACTTCTGTCACACATATTAGTTAATTAATTTAATAGATTATATTATGCAAAATGGCCTCTGTTTACATGTGGGTTCCTTTAAATCAGAGCTAGATAAGATTTTAACAACTCTGAGCTATTAGTTAAGTTCTCCCCAAACGAGCTTGATGGGCTGAATGGCCCCCTCTCGTTTGTAAATTTCTTATGTTCTTATGTTCTTATGTAGGTATTTACTGGTGCAGTGTAAGTTGGAGCTTAAGGCTGCATCAGCCATTCCTCTGTGTCTGGATATAAGCCAGCTTTATACTACTCTAATATTAATCTCTATGCTCTAATCTTCTCTGCACTCCTAATGCTACATGCATGCTCCAGTACTCTTTGTGTCCATTAATGCTCAGTGCATGCTCTAATACTCTGTGTCCCCTAATGTTCTGTGCATGCTTTAATGCTGTAATATTCTCTGCACCCCTAATGGTCTCTGCATGCTCTAATACTGTTTGTGTCCCTTAATGCTCAGTGCATGCTGTAATACCCACTGTGTCTCCTAATGCTCTGTGCATGCTGTAATACTTTGTGTGTCCCCTAATGCTCTGTGCATGCTGTAATACTTTGTGTGTCCCCTAATGCTCTGTGCATGCACTGCAGTGCTCTCTGTTCTCCTTAATGGTCTGTTTCTGCTGTTATACTCTATGCATCCCTCAATGCTCTGTGTATTACAATACTCTCTGGGTCCTAAATTGCCCTGTGCATGCTATAATAATCTGTGTCCCCTAATGCCCTGTGTCTGCTGCAATACTCTCTGGGTCTTCTAACGTTCTGTGCGTGCTCTAATACTCTCTGTGTCCCCCAATTATCTGTGTGCTGTAATACTTTCTGTGTCCCCAAATGCTCTGTGCATGTTGTAGCGCTCTCTGTGTCCCCAGATGCTCTGTGCATGTTGTAGCACTCTCTATGTCCCCAAATGCTCTGTGCCTACTCTGATGCTTTCTGTCTTCTAATGCAGTAATATTCTCTACATTCCCTAATGTCCTTTGTCTATTCCGTTTTCCACATGCCCTAATGGTCTGTGTATTGCAATACTCTCTACAAACCAAAATGCTTTGTGTGTGCTCAGTTGGATCTGGTCCTCATAAGCTAAAGTCGTGAGGCTTTTTGAGAATATATCTTAATAATTTACAGATTCTCACCTGAAGTGTCAAGTCCATTGACTTACCATCCTATTAACTGCTGCGTTAAGCAAAAAGATGAATGGAAACCAGCATGCATGAAATTGAAGAGTAATGTCATGAAACTGGCCACTATTTTTACACTGCTGAGCTGTGCTCAGTCCAGTGAAGGCAGTGCAGGAAAAGCATGGAGGATAAGAGTCAAGCCATGGAAATGAATCTAAAGAGAAATTAACATTAAAAACGAAAATCATTTTAAAAATGAATTGTTATGGTGACCAGGTCTGTCCTCCACTGTAATATAGAGTAATATTCTTGGCTGTAGTCCTTGGGGAACTCGCCTTCCGTGCTGCATTTGTAATTAGTGATTATGAGGTGGTCAGAGTTTTTTGTTTTTTTTTTTGGTTTCTTTTTCGTCAGACTTTAGTTTCAGGGAATACTCATGTCACAGTGCTTTGTGTTGTAAGTCAGTGTTAATGAATTTGTCTCCACTTGGGAAGTTGTACAGCCATGTAGTAAAAGAGAACACGAATGGAGTTATTTAGATTTGAGTCCCTTTTTGTGTTTTACATTTCAGGATATCAGCTTAGATGGTTTTTCTAATGTTTTTTTTTATTATTGGTATCTGGTTTACATAGCAAGCTGTAACATAGGGTTGCCAGCTTTGGTCAGCTGGCTGAAGTGAGATTTTCAGTTCAAGACAAGTCTATACACCTATTTACATTTAAGTAACAGTTTAAGTAACAGTTTTATTACTTGTAAATAGTCTGTAGGGTTTGCAAACTACCCCAACACTTTCGATGTAGCTAATTTTAGGTTTATGTAGATTAATATAGAATAATATAGATTTGCTGTAAGATTACTTGCATGAGCGTGAGAGTCAGAAAGCGTGAGTGTCACACCAGATGCGTGGGGGTTGGCAACCCTAACATAGTCAACCAAGCATGAACATCAAACGGAAAGGATGGGAACCAATGAAATTCCAAAGCTGCCATAAAGCTGACAGGAAGTGGTTTATCTGCCATCACGTTTGTCATGTTGTCCTGCTGGTCGTGCACTAAACGCTAAATGGAAACTCCGAACGACCTACTGATCACTCTCCGTCGGCGACCACAAGAATGGCTTAGCATCACACAGGAACCAATGAGCACGCCCCTTGTTTTCCAATCATCCAGTGCAATCATTTTACAGCAGTAGGCTGGAAAATTTACACTACACAAGTCAGTAACGTGTCCTTGCAGATTCGGGGTAAATTGAGCACTTACTTTGGGAAGCCCTTTATAGCAGTGTTGTCCATAATTACTGTGATATCATAAATTTTTCGGTATGATTAAAAGACTTGGGGGAAGCCTTTCACACCAAACCAGCCAGCTGATGGCGTCGGTTATGCGCCTAAAAGCCTCTTCCTGTCTGCACGTCGCGATAACAGGTGGCCTGTTTAATCACAGCATGACAGCTGACACGAGTCGTAATTCAGAGCTGCTGGATTGGTTTCGGATATCTGACCCCCCCCCCCCCCCCCC